AAAAAATGGACTAATTTGCACTAGCGTAAGCAGGTGATCTTCCTTCGAAGGGCACGTTATGCTAAACTCACCTTTTACTTCCTTTTGAGCTACTGAGTGGGTCTCTACTGCCTCTAAACATTCCCAAATGTGAGTTAAACCTGGCCTCTCATTTTCCGCCAGTGTTTGGTTTTAGGAATTATATGCCTAAAACAAGCCGTTTCAAAAAGTCATCCATTGTGACCTCACAAACAGGAAATTAAAATAAACCACCTCTCGTGCAAGAGAGAGCTGCTGCTAGAGGAGCAGCGGCTCTACTCTGAATCCCTCCCCGATATGAGAGCTTCTCCGCTTATTGACCCTGTGCACCTTTGTCTCTTGATCACTTGGGTCCCCCATCTTGGATGTCTACGTGAATTACAAGAGTATTGAAGTGGCGACTGAGGTTGTTTTTTTTGCCACTTTAGCCTGGTTTCTACTAGTTCAAGCCCAGTTCACTTGTGGGAAGATTAGTACACTTAGGTGGGTTTGCAGAGAACAGTATTTACAGAAGTTAGCTAGCACGTTAGCTTATGTGCTCCCTGCTGCTGTTTACCAATGTAAACAAGTTGCTGACTTTGTCAGAATTTAGCTTGCTGGATTTATGTGATAAAACAACGTTTATCTTTACTCTGTCGCTGATCCGAAAAAATAAAACAAAAAATCTACCCGTTTTTGTCTAGGCGGGGTCACCGGGTTTAGCTGCTGCTGTCATGCCAGGCGAGACAAGATATCTCATAATGGTGATGCTCATTATACAAAATAAATAACACAATTTTCACACACTTAATCATATAATAGAACAATATTATTAGTATCTCATAATTCACTAAAGTGGATGGTAACACACATTCTCCATGGTGAAATATAGAATTATCAATACTAAAGTAATATAAACACATCACATTTATCATTTCAGGTCCATCACAGTCAGTCCCTGTCCTCCTCATGAAATATACAAACGTTATTCTTATCCGGTAAAACGTGTTTGCTACGGATCCGAAAATATTTTGAGGGCAGCTGATCCTTTTGATTGACAGCTGTGGTCCATCGCCTTCTTCAGTCTTCATCAAAGTTATTAAAAAATGGATGAGTCGAGTTTACCTTTGCCTGTTTGTGCAGACAACTGCAACGTAAACTATTACAATTTAACTGTGAAATGAACTGAATTAAAGAATGAAAGGCTACAAACGGGCTTCTTTCTTTAGCTTCACAGGAGTTTCAACGAGTGTAAACAGGTTCTCTGCCGTCCATCATGGCGTAGAGGATGGTCTCATAAGCAGCATGATGTCACATGCAAAGGGTCAATAGCACACTGAATGGGGAAGGGGTGGGTGTGGCCAGCTCCAGACTGTTTTCTGGAAGTGACAGAGCCCTGAAATGGCTCCTTCTGGAAGATACTGAAAAGGTCCAGAATAAATCAGCTAAAATAATTGTATGCTAAAGGGATTTTGTACCTGAAACTTCATGAACTTGTTTTGGATCAATCACTAAATTATTATAACTTAAGGAAAACATTTGCCTGGGTTCTGTTATCACTCCCAAAACATCGAGCGGCCTCCCACACTAACCCATTTATTCCTGTGTACTACTTGATAACATTTTGTTGCAGCATGACTAACTTTATACCTGCTGTCTCTCAGCTGTGATTTGCTTTTATACCCACAAACACAGTTGTGCAATTAGAAAAAGGTATCCTTATTTCTCTTATTTGTTTTTGCAGCAAAACTGCTCATGAAGTTTTTGCACAAATTGTAGCGCTAATGTGCACAAGGGCACTTTTTGCTGCCTTTAACTGAATTTCTTGGTCTCCGTTTATTCCAATTCAATGTGGTGCTTCACTGATTGATATACATTGGTGATAACTGTAAGTTGGTGACAAGAAACACAGGATTAAAAAAAGAGCCTGGACTGGGTCATTTATCTGTTGCCAAAACATCACAGCTACTTGTATTACCTCACACTGTGCACCTCCTCTGCTTCTTTGAAGAGCAGACTGATCTAATTAAATTCTTTTCATGAGAAAAGGAAAAGGGCGATCCAAAACAACGTTGCTGCTATGATTTTATAGTAATGCCTTCAGTATTTCCCCTGTGATGCAAGATTGTACTTCCCAGGTGTGTTTTTCATTGGGCCGGGTTCAGATATGCTAATAATGAATCAGTGGGCTGCATGGTGGAGCAGTTGGTAGGGAGGTTGCAGATTTGACTCCCGTTTGCATCCTTTCTGTGTGGAGTTTGTGATTTCCTCCAATGGACCAAAATCATGCCTGCTAGCCAAGTCTCTAAATCTAGAGGACAGGGGCGGGGGTTATAATAAAGAGGACTCTTGCTGAAGATCTCCAAAGTGTGCTGAGGTGTTGCTGACCTCTGCCTGTCAGGTAGCTGGTACCTAATCAGACTGGATACAGAAGAAGTTCACATGATGCTAAAGGAAAATCACTCATTTATCTGTGGTGTTATGACTACACCAGTCACTTGAATTGCTGTATATGTAAAACTGAGCAGGACACACACACACACACACACACACACACACACACAGCTTTCCTTTATACTCCCTCTGCAGATCTGTTGCTCTCCAGTAAATTCAGTCCTCCGTCTCACCCTGCTGCTCTCTTGCTTCGCCTTGATGAAGACCAGATGACATTTCTTCCCCGCTTCTTCCAAAGCAACAAGTGAGATGTGTGCCCACCATTTGTCTTGTGCCAGCTTCTAACGCTGATTAGCTTGAATCATAGCAGGAAGGAGATTCCCCCTCTTGCATCTTTGTTTTGATGCTAGTAGGGCTGCTCGATTATGGCAAAAACAATAACACGATTATGGTGACTGAAATTGAGATCACGATTATTTAGGACGATTTTTCTATTTATGTTGATTTTATTTGTTTTTATTCAGTCATAAAATTGTTCAGGGCACAATCAGGACAAAACAAAAAAAAAAGAAACAAGATGATCACTAAAATAACTCCTGATTCTCAGTTTAAAAAGACCAATATACTTATAGCTCATAGTTTATGACCCAAGGGCAATAGACCTTGGTTTAACTCATTTAAGTCTAACCAGTACAGACCCAAATACCAATATCTTGCAAATACTGACAGCAAGAATTATACAGTGGCATTTATAACAAATAAATGTAAATAAATTGATGTTCACAAAATGTTGCATAACATTTATTTAGTCGTGTCAAGGTGCTGTAGGAGAGTGCACTAGCACCGTGTCCTCAGAGAGATTAGTCATTATTTATCAGCGTGAGGAACTTATTTCTACCTTATTTATAAACTATTTATTTACAGGTCCATCAGTTAATGTAATAATTGTCCCAACCACAGCTGCACCCCCCACCCCCCAACCCGGTCTCACAGCAAACAGGGCAAGCTGAACGTGTGTTTAGCGTGCCACACGCGCACATTTAGCCGTTTTTAGCGGCTCAGAAGTCCGCAGGTACGGTGTGTGTGTCACTCACTCTGGTTAATCCAACAAGGAGCCGGCTCTGAGAGCTGTTTCTTTAGCGACCGACACATCACTACATCATTCCCTTTCCTAATGTCCTGAAGAACGGTCGGGAGCGCAGGCGGAGTGTTAAGCTAACCTGCAGCAGGAAACGTCGACGACAGTTATCCAGAAAGTAGTTAAGCGTTACCAGAGATGTTTCTGAGGTGTTCGCTAGGTACTTTTAAGATTTAAAAAGTCAAGAAGGGGGTCTGAAAAGCTGTTAGAAATAGCGTCAAAGTTGCCAAGTTGGCAACACTGTGGGAGGAGCAAATAATCGGCTTGTTTTGTTTTTTATAATCGTTCAAAACTCAGATCGTAATCGTGATTAAAATTCGATTAATTGAGCAGCCCTAGATGCTAGTAGTAGTAATAAAAATTTTGATTTTGGTCTTTATTGATCTTGAATGGACTTTAAACAACTTCTGGAAAGTTTTGTTGAAATGACAAAACCTAAAAAACAAATAGCTTTAAAAATGTTTTTTTGTTTAAACTTCTAGGTCTGGTCCAAGGGGAAAAGATGCCGTTCATAGCAGAGGGACTGACAAGAGTGCGATATGGTTGAAAAAGTAGCGAGAAGGGCTAATCTAGAAACATTTTGTACATTCTTTTCTTCCCTCTGTCATCTTGTGTAACCTCACTGGTGTTGAAGAAACCCTGCTTGATCTACTTTACTGTCTGCTGCCTGCTGGGAGAAACATATGATTACATAATTGTTTCCATGTGTGCCGCGTCAGTCAGTTTCATGTCTAACTGTCTTTTTATACGTAACTAGTTGAGCAAATTGATTCACTTTGGACCATTTTCAGATGAAATCTGCAGTATTTTTGTGTGTCAATGGCTAAATAAAGGGCTGTAAATGTCTTTTGCAGTTGTTGAACTCCAGATCATGGTTGATAACTCCACATGTTTAAGATACACACCTTTTCCGGTGTATGAGGTGTCACTCTGCCTGGAGGAAGCCAAATAACTAAGAAAAAAAAACATTTCACCACACCAACTGTGTGCACTTTGTCACCTTCTCTGAACCACAGCCGTCTCATTTCTCTTTCACCTCTCTGCTGGAGGCTTTTATGCAAATTAAACAGATTTTTTGTACTGATTTATTTGAGGGAATTTGGAACTAGTTTTAACATTTGAAACATACAAATATCTGGGTGTAAATGTTTTGAGTTAGGTAATGCTACACATAACATCATAGGTATAATATCTGGCATATTTGAATGATTCTAATGTTTAATATTGTCAGCCAGCACACATTTGCATTAATAATCTTTTTTTATTAAGTGAATAAAAGCAGACATTAATGTATCTCCTTTTTTGTCTCATCAGAGAACCTGGAAGGTCTTCAGGATTTGGTGAAAGAACGTTTGGCCGAGTTAATCCGTGTCCTGAAGACCGTCATTAGCAAACACCAGACCCTCAACTCAGTGGACATCCTTGGAGCCGCTGGTATGGTCATTGCTAAAGTCAAAGGTGAGTCAACAGCGACAGATATGCAGCCACAAATAATGCTTACGTGTCATATCTTTGTAGATCTTCTTGTTGCGTCTCTAGACAAGGACAGAATTGTGCGTCACACTTCCAGTTTTGGAAAGAGTCGTCCTGAAAGAATATTTCCCCATTTTTACAATTTTTGAGACGTTTTTCTAAAAGGAGACGTTTCAGTTAAGCACAAACCTAAAGGGAACCTCGGCTCATAAGCTCATCCCTCCCCAGCGGAGGCTTCATGCCTGTAATTTTCATTCCACGTTTTCAACATCGGAGGCCTTCTTTTCAGTCAAGCTCATCCACTTTTCTCCATTTCTCGTCTCTCCCTGTGCCGTGAGGGATTTAGTCCTTCTGATCACCTGCCCTGCCTCTGAGATGACATGCTCCCTAAGAATGTGGTCCTGCCTTCTGTAGACTGTTTACGTGATGCATTGGCAGAGTTTAGCTTTAAGAAAACAAAGCAAAACTCCAGATTAACCAAAATGAATTACCGGCTCAGTTAAGAACCAACTTTAAAACGACACAAAGTCACCTGATAGAAGAACGATGCAGCAATAAGTGTCTCTGATAGAAAAAACTTGGAATGAACCTTCTTTTAAATCATCACACAAAGGGGACTGATGTCACAACCATGGGGGCAAGCAGAATTTCATCTCCTGATAAAAGCTGTAATTAATAAGTCAGATTAAAACATTTGACTCTCCACAAGGGGGTGCCTTCCATCAACTGACTGGCTTGATGGACTGTCCCTCGTGGCCAGCGGGTAACTGAGTTGCAGGAAGAAGCGGATGAATCAGTGAGACATCACAGAGGAAGACTCAAACCTTCAGAAGATAACAGACCTCATGCACCTCTTTCTGCCTCAGTCTCAGTCTTTGAAGGTTGGTCATGACACCTGGGGCATTTGCACTGCTGCCAGAAAAGCTTCTCCTCCAAACACATGGTTGTCCAACTAGTTTTAGATGGCACACTATTCACTCGAGCCATTTCCTGCTATTGTTTTTATGTTTTATTCTGAAATTTTCACATTTGATCCAAATTGTTCCAAACGTGTTAAGGTCAGGATCAAAAGTTTCACTCTGGATAGAAGCAGCATGTGTTGCTTTCTCTCAGTCTGTGCCACCTGGCCTGGAAAAGTCAAGTTATTTATATATATATATATTTTTTGCAGGGTCACATTTTGACCAAGTACTTGTTGTCAACTTCTCTTCGTGCAAAGCTGCAGGGCATTGCAGTAACAACGTTAACTTCCTCATTTAGATATATTTTATGCTGCATTCCTTTTCCTTGCACACGTAGCCTGTTTTAGGGGTTATGGGATGATTTTATTTATTAATCATCACAGTCATGAGAAAACAATAGGTCATATACTTAAATGATGCAGTTTCCAAATTTCAGCCATGGCTGAGGAGGGAGGGGAGTTGCTGAGCGCTAGAATCATTGTTAGAGACCCACAGGATGTCCTGAGGAAGAAGTCAGAACCGAGTTGTACGCACGCATTCAGAGATAGGGAGGTGCGCTACAGGGAGGCTCGCACCGCACCTCCTCTCTTCTGGTGTCTCCCTGGAACGCACTGTCCTTCTCACCCAGGATGCCACGCCATCATCCTCTCAGGACTTGATTAACCCCTCGTCCACCTCTGACATGGATTAAAGTTACTCTCATGAAGAGAAAATGGAGCAGAAAAAAGCCACAAAACACTCCGGAAGCTGGAACTGTTTAAGTTCCCAGTTTCTGTTCCATCATGCTTCAGATTTCTGGTCGTTTTTGTAGATCAAAAGGCCAGGTGGAGGCGGCGGAGAGGTAAGAGCTGTCATGGTTGTATCTTTATGCGTGTCAGAATCGAAGCTCTGTGAGTGTTTCCTGTTGCGGGGCAGACAGGAAGTGCTCAGCTCGGTCGGATTTCACTGGCTGTGTCGTTGGTTCTCTCTACAAATGTTTCTGAGAAGAAAACCTCCTTCGCATGTTGACGAGCTCTGATGGCTTCTCAGAGCTGAGGCGACCTTCTCGGTGCACAATCGGCATGGACAATGGACCAGAGGATTTTATCACTTTTAGATGCAGGGGGAAGAATTTGGGATTGTTTCTGAAAAGCCCTTGAATCTTCCACCTTTGAAGCTTTTCCAGGAGGACATTTTGAGTGGGTAGGAAGACGAAAAGGCTTCATCATCTTCGACACCTTTTACTGGAAATCTGGTTTTTATGCGTTTGTTTTGTTATCTGTTTAATTTTCGGTGACACATTCGAAGCTGTGGAACTACTGAATGACGCTGGACATCATTCAGAGTCAAAAAGTCTGTAAAAGTAACAAACAGATTCCTGCTAAAGTCAACTGGTTCAGCTGGAGGGCAACCATCTGCATCATTGTTAGCTTTTAAATGGAGTCAGCCTGTTTTCTTTATTTATATCATTTCATTGTTGTATTGTCCAGCCACACACAAGCCTGACCGCTGAAGGATGAAGTACCCAAAGGCTGTTTAGTCATTCCTTTCCCCCCTCAACGTTTTAACGTGTTTTATCACCTCCACAGGCATTAACTTCAAGGAAGTGAACCCAGAAAACAAACAAGCTAAATTCGGCGAGATACACACGTCTATTGACATTTTGGCATTCACGTTTGGCAATGTGTGAGTACAGTACTTGTTTTCAACACCATTTTATTATTCTTTCTGCCACAGCCAAATAAAGTGTTTCTAGCCCAGAGGACAGTAGTTTGTTGGTCTTCTTAGGCCCGCCATTATCTATATCTGCATTTTAAAACAAATTTAAATTCATTAGAATAGATTGGCCTTTCAGACTGTTTCCCAAACTAACCCAGTCACGTTTATGTGTATACATCTGCAGAGTTTCTGACTTCCTTATGGGAGATGTGGACAGCAGCTCAGGGTTGGGGATCCCCCAGACCAGGAGAAGCAGGGTGAGACACCAACCGTTCTGGTTTTAGGCCACACATGTTTACTTTTGCCTTTGTTCTGAAACACGTCGGCACTCTAAAGGCTGCACTAATAGCAGCAATTTTACCCCACCTCAAATAAAAACCCAAACTCAAAGACTTGCTTTTTCTGCACCTAATTGGGGTGTTAAAACCCAGCTGCTACTGATGTGTGACGCTGATTGTACGTTTGATTTTCCTGCTTTTTAATCTGGAATGTCGTTTCCACAGTCCTTTGACAACCTCTCTGTGGATCCTGAGGGCTACGTTCTAGACGGGAGTCGTCTTGTGGGTAGGTGTTTGATTGCTGCGTGATAGGATAGCTTCAGTCTGAAACCTGACAGCTAATGACGGCTTTGTTACAAAGCTTTTGGGGGTTGCTTTGCAGCTCGTGGGTCAGCTGCCTGAGAGTGATTTAGTCCTTGAACTCTTTAATCCCAGTTGTAGACTCGCCCCAAACCTCAGCTTCAACCCATTATTTCTGCTGATCTTTTCATGCTAGGCACTTGTTTCCCTTTCTGTCCTCACATATGTGACGTTCCTTGTTGAGAGTAGTTTTGTGTGGGATGGGGAAATACTAGCCTGGCCTGCCAGACTCATGCAGAACTAAACAGAGGAGGAGTCTGGCAGGCCAGGCTAGGGAAATACACGCGTTTGTGCTAAATCACATGCCTGGTGGCTTGGGTGGTTGCATAAAACAGTTACTGCCTTTGCAGTTCCCACTGACATTGTTCTGTTTTCCTTTTGTTTTGAACATTTACCTTCCCACATGTGTGGAAAGTGGAAGTGAAATACACAAATCCAGCTTTGGGGTATTGTATTTGTACTTCATCTGTGTCCTCTGCTGACATCACAGAGCCTGAGCTGTCACGGTCAAGAGAGGAGGAAGTAGACCTAACCCTGCTGAAGAATGACAGTGGGGTGGAGTCGGCTCTACTCTATGCTAAGGCATGGTCCAAATACATCAAAGACCTTCTGGGATGGATGGAAAAACGAGCAGCCATGGGTGAGGCATTAATGAGATTAGAGATTTAACCCTCTGGAGGCCGGCGTTGCAGATTTGCAACAGTTAAAACCTACCTACCTGGTTACTCCACACACGTGTTTCATGAGCATGTTTTAACTCAGAAGTACCCCTGAAGGACTTAGTTGTTCGTCCTTTTATGAAAACTTATTTTGAGCCCGAGAGGGTTAAGAAAAGATGAGAGGCAGGTTTCTTTTACACTCTTGGAATGTGTTTGTTTTGTTTTTAGAGTTTTCCAAGTTTGGTTAAATAAAAGAAGAAAATATTCAGTTTGGAAAAGATTCCTATACTCACAGTGATGAATGTAACCTGAATTTCCTTAACCTATTGGATGCAAAACAATGAACTTGTTCCTAAAATAAAAGCAGATTTTCGATTCTAATCTAAATGATAGCAGAATTTTAAAACACCTTTTTTATTTAAAGCTTTAATATTAGGAATTCAAGTCTTACTTTACCTTTATAAATGACAAATAAATAAGTTTATTTGTTTTTTATTACTTTGTCTGTATGACTATAAAGATTTATGCGTTTAATATGCATTAATTTTAATAATTTAATTATAAAATGGTACTGAGCTTTTAGACTTAATGAGAGAAATGCTAAAAAAAAAATTGAGCGATCCGGGGCTTTTCATTAAAGATTCGGGGCTTGAGCCCAAGTAGCCGGGCCTAACGCCGCCCCTGTAATGGACTTTATTTCAGGGTTTGGGCTAGAAAAGCAGTTGCTTGGTTAATTTAATTTATTATCAGATCACAAAAACAATGAAACATTTATATAAAAGTGTAAAGAAGCAAAACATGAAAATGAAAAAAAAAAAGCTATTTTCTTCATCTTTATTACGTTTTTTAATTCATCAGCTTTGAATTAGTGACAAAAGTTTTTCATCATACCTGAAAATGCTAATTATTTATGGCTTTATGCAGCTTATGAGATGCAACTATGTCCACAAACAGATATTCTGCTTTATATTGGCTTTGTTTATTATCATAGCTGTTTCGTTTCCTCTCTCAGATATCGACTATGCTAAAAGCTATACCAAAATGGCCGAGACGGCGAAGACACTGGCCAGCCAACAGGTAACGTTAACATACACCTAATGCTGATTTCATATTCATTACAACTCATTTGAAGGAACGGTGGGAATAGGATTTAGCATCAAGCTTCGATTGAAACGGGACAAACTGTCAGTTTTAAACCAGAATTTTTCAAGTTTTTTTTTAGTTTCAGTTCCTAGGCTGCCAACCGGAACAAGAATCTGTGGCAGATCGCCGTGAAAAAACATGATCTGCAATTTCTGATCAACACTGTCAGAGCTGATCACACCACCTGTCTGCTGCTACTCTGCAGCCCACAGAGACCTTGCATCACATTTGGCAATGTGATCTGCGCCCCTGTCCCTACCCTCACACTGCGCAGAACTTGTACTCCATGATGTAAACTTTGCATCCTGCAGCGAAAAATACGGCACAGAGGAAGCTTGTTAAAATGCATCAGCACAGTAGATTTGATATAAGTTTTAAAGAACAAACTCCAGGCGATGTGAGGTGAGTTAGGCTCACTGCAGAAATAAAAACACATGGAGCATCAACAGTTAAACGCAGCCAATCACCAACACTTGTCTGTGTGGGCGTGGCCGTCAGAAGGCTGAGCAATAACCTGTAAAATAGATAGTCATCGTGCTAGATCAGCCTCCCTCTGCGGTGGACCACACCGGGTTCTGGCCACTAGAGCATACAGGATAATAAATCTCACAACATGCAAACATTTAGATTTTTTTTTCTTCCTTTGACCTATTTAGTCTGTTATGAGTTTTAATGTTTTTAATCCATCAGATTGTTACTGACAGCAGCTACATTTAAGCTTCTGTTTCTCTTCTGACTGAATGGTTGCTGCAGCACATAGGTGTGGGTGTCATCCTGGACATGATCATCCTGAGCATTTTAGGTGAAAACAGCTGGACTTTCTGGTTGTGTTGAAGACATTAACCTCCCATCCTAGAGACTCCTTCAGTTCCCATAGTTGGGCTGCGGTCAGAAAGGGTTTTCTTTTTGAAAACATGTTTCTGTTCTAAATGCATTTTATTGTTCATTGAATTAAAATTAATGTTTAAGTTCAGATTATTTCATCGAGTAATACCCGTGGTTGGCTGGCTCGTTTAAAACATTTAATGTTTTTACATCCTGCCACTTGAAAGAATGTGATTCGGGAATCGATAGGAATCGGACTCGAAACGAGGAATTGGAATCTGAATCGTTCAAATTAAACAATGCTCAACCCTTGTGCTGAATATGTATATGAACGTAATTTCTCCTGCATTTGTTCAAGGACTACATGCCATTCAGTGACGTCTACGTCTCCACGTTCAAGAGGGACATCGATTATAACCAGCTGCTCATTCACACTGCAGTGGCTCTTCAAACAAATAAATTTATGCAGGTAAAAAGTGGCAAGAAAAGGTAAAATGTACCCTTTGTGGGGCATTTCAACTCGTTACTCAAACCTTAAAGCATGTGTTGCTCAGTTTGCGCCAACTGTTTAAAACACCTGGTTTCAGTAGGCTTGATTTTAGCCTGTTTTGTTATTTTAACTGGCCGTTCTAAACACAAACAACCCAGTTGTTTTCTTCGTTCATGTAGAGCTGTTGTGGTTTATCTCTTTATTTATTCTCAGCCTCTTCTGGCTCGCAAGAATGAACTGGACAAGCTGAGGAAGGACATGAAGGAGCAGTGGCAAAGAGAACAGAAGAAAATGGTTGGTAGAAGAAGGTCTCATTACAGATAATTATTGTATAGTTGTTTATAGGTTACATTATGCTAGACTGACAGTTCCACAACTGGTCGTTTCCATGGTTACCGGTGCATACATTGTGTTGCTATATGGCTTATCCAGCAAGAGGCTGACACGACCCTGCGTAAGGCTCGAGCGCTGAACACCCAGAGAAGAGAGGAGTACCAAAGGGCCCACTCCTCCAAAAACCGCTCCATGGAGGAACAGCCCATCGCCGGGAACAAGCAGATGGAGAAGAAGAGGAAACTCGAGGAGGAGGCTCTGCAGAAGGTGGGCAAAAGGAGAACAATCCCATTGATAATGATTTAGAATAGTTTCCTTATTCTTAATCTGTTTTGTATGGAATGTTTCGGGGCAGGCTGAGGAGGCCCAGGACCAGTACCAGAGCTGCGTGGCCGACACAGACGTCAGGAAAATGGATCTGGCCAACGTGAAGAGGACAATCCTCACACAGATCCGAGAGATGGTCTTCCAGTGTGACCTCACACTCAAAGCTGTAAGAATCCCAATTTATTTGATCATTAATTATTCAAGAGAGGAAACCTACACACAATAAATGTTAAAACATCCTGACTCGTGTTGCTGCGGGCTGCCTTTGTACGAATCGTTACCAAAAGGAAATCTGAGACATGAAAGCGGGTCGACGCCTTTGGATCTTTAAATGTGTTTCTTGGGTCGTTCTTTGGCCACGAGATCTGTGGTGTGTTTGTTCTGCTGCTGCGTTCAGAGATTTTAGTCCAACATCCTTAATATCAGAAAAAGGTTTCCCAGCAGAACACTGCTGGTGATCAGCATGTCTAGTTTCACCAGCCTGGGGGTTCGGATTTTTATTTCTTTAAAGAATGAAAAAAATTTATAAAATAAAAACACTTACATGAAATTTTTTGTCTCTCTGTGCTTTTTTTTTTTTTTGTTTTGTTTGTGCTCTTTACCGACTCTCTCTTTCTTTTGTGTTTGCAGGTGACGGTGAACTGGTTTCAGATGCAGCAGGCTCAAACCTTGGCTCTCCCTGACCACTTCCAGGCGCTGAGTGAGAGCACCAAATTGTACGAACCAGGAGGATGCTACGCTAAGTTCGTCCAAAACCTGCCCAGAAATCTGCCTGTAGAGCACCTCCGCTCCCACTCCAGCTCTGACTTTTCCAGGTAAAAAGGACTCTGAGTGCACGGTGAGATTCTGGAAATTCTCCAATAATTAATGGGAAAATCAGCGAAAGACAGGGCTAGAGATATTTGATTTTGCAAAACACAAAGCTTGAGTGTTTTATCAGGGCAGGTTTTGTCGTCACAGTATGTGTTTCACCGAGCCGGGCTGACACACACATCATTATGTTGTGATTCTCGTCGCCTTAAAGCAGGGGTCGGCAACCTTTTCCCATCAGAGAGCCATTATTACCCGCTTCCCACTGTAATGAAAACACCGCAGCAGCCGCGGCGTTGTGGGCGGGGCCTACCCTCAGACAGCAGAGTGCTGCTTTAACCGATCACAGCAGGTGACAGCCACCAATGCCATTCGCTCATGTACCTTAAAGTTGTCTTTCAACCGAAGACAACAAATAAAACAGTTTGTATTAAACTGACCCAGAACTTGTCGCCCGTCTGTGTCGACAGTACTTTGATATTTTTCACCCTATTAGTGGTTTAATGTTGAGCAGGTGACGCTTTTTGACGCGTCACACGCGTCTCCTTTTAAAACATGTTTAAACTGTTCAGAATACAAATCCAGGCTCTGTCTCGTTGGGTTGTTGTAATTAAACTTTGTGCTGAACTAAACTTTACATTAAACAATGTTGAAAAGGTAAGAAAAGGATCCAATCAGTTTGTTTTTGCCTCATTTACAGAGATGGGGATAACGGCGTAGTGCGCATGGCTCTGGTGTTATCAAGTGTAATGTTCCTGTTTGCAACAGTCTTCACAAGAATGCAAAACAGTTAAATGGCAGGGTTCACAATGACGGGACATTTCCTTATTTGGTCATTTATTTTGACTGAGAAACCTCAACGCTGCAGACGCGCTGATATTTTCATCGTTACGCACATCGCGGAGGTAGCTACACCAATCAAGAAAAGATTCCCATCAGAACATCTGAGCTGGACACTGAGCTCCGCGCAGCTCGCTGTCAGCGCACACGTAAGGTCGACAGTGAGCTGAAGGTGTGGAGAGGGGCTTGGAGCGTGTCGCAGAACCAGAGCCATGCGGGGAGATTCCTCCCACTGGAGCGAGTGTTTTCCAAACCCCGTCTCTCGGAGAGACTTGTCACTTAGAAAATGTTCCCTGATTACGAAACTTTGGCTGAATAGCACTTGTTCCTGCCTCCAACGTGACAACACATCCAGGAGCCTGTCTGAGGAGACGTCCAGAATCTCACATCCTCTCCAGCTCAGAAAGCTCCTATAGAGACATCTGATTATGCACAAACAGGTGACCTGTCAGCCGTTGGACCTGTGGTTTACGCAGACTGTCTTTACATTTAGAATTGGCATACAGATAAAAATGAATGCAGTAAAGTAAATATGTTTTAATGAAATATTCATTAATTATTTTACAAGCAGAGAGCTGCATCAGATGGATGAAAGAGCCGCTGCTGACCCCTGCCTTAAAGGGATGCTTTGCAACTTTTTCATATTCATAAATCATTTTCTTGAGCCAGTATGTGCTAAATGACCCTTTACAGGGTTAATAAGATGTCACTCAGACCCCCACCGCCCCCTGTGGCCAGAATACCGCAGTTACAACTTCAGAGTGCCTGTCTGGTCTGTTGGAATTAAAAATAAATTGAGCTGACATACTCGGTGCTGCAGTCTGCCTCCAGCATGCTTCCTGCATGTTTTAGATCCCAAACACAGCTGAGTTGTTGGATTTAGTGATGAACCGCTCCTGTAGACACCAATGAAGGCTGAGGAGATGTTTAAGCTGTTGGATTAAGATGTTAAAGAGGAACGCAGAGCGAGGAGATAAATTTTGGTTTTGGTTCTACTAAACAGACCCTAGGGGGTGCTAAAAGCAAACAAGACTGCCTTGTGTGCCTTTAAAAATACCTTGGATCAGATTTGCCTTGTAGAGGATGGCGTTTCTCAACATATTGAAAGGCTGTTCCTCCAATTTCAGAGTTGTTAAATTCTTCTTTTGGTAAACAGCTGTGAGTCACACTGAGAGGTAGAGACAGAGGCTGTGTTACATTTCTCTCCTTCACTCTGTGTGTGTGTGTGCGTGCGTGCGTGCGTGCGTGTGTGTTTTTGTGTGTGTGTGTGTGTGTGTGTGTGTGTGTGTGTGTGTGTGTGTGTGTGTGTGTGTGTGTGTGTGTGTGTGTGTGTGTGTGTGAGAGAGAATGCAACAGGAAAGATCATGAGCGTGAGAGTTTGGCTCTTGTTTGGAGCTGCCTTTAGCGTTCTAGTCTGGTTGTGAAAGCTAGGAGCCAGCTTCCCACACACAGTTGCTTATTTTCACCAAGAAGAGAAGCAATATTTTGATTTCAAAGCCGAGTCAGCGGTGGGGTTAACGATGTTGCTGGAACAAAGACTCGTTTCATTATCGTAGAAGAGTTTTGTTCTGTTAGAGTCGTCACAGTGATCTGCTGACTGGACTTCTTTCACTTTTTCTTCTTGCCTTATGCACTCGTTAACATGCTGTCACGTTTTATTCATGAAAAGATATAAATACATTAAAATAAGAGCAAAAATGATCTGTTTATAGTGAGGTAATTAGACAGCCTTGTCACAACTTTATGATAAAAGGCAGAATGATGGAAATATGAAGAGATTCTTACCAGTAAATGTGTGACATCAAACCCTAAAGGCTGACTTGATTTGTCCAGGTTTGTGCTCAGTAAAAAGTCCCAGGGCAGTGCCTACTCCTCCCACGGCAACCTGTCTCAGGCCTCCGCTACCTCCTGTGACGTTCCAAGTGGAGACGATGTGGACCGGCCCGCAAAAATCGGTGAAAGAAGGTCCAACAGCAGTGTGGATATAACAGGTTTGAGTTCTAACATTTGTATGAATTTCACCGTGTTTCCATTATAATCTGAGCAGCCTGCAGACACACTTGTTTCTATATCAGTCCCTGAGAGAGCTAATCCTGTCTTCTGAGTCACGGCAATGCTTTATTTTAGGACTAAAACAGCTCAGATAGGATGCTGCATACTCATAAATGCACATGACTGCCCGGGTAAAGGTTGTCACTGAGCAAGCATCTGTCGTTTAGCTGACTTGAGGTGTGTGTTTGTGTGTTTTAGCAGCCCTGAGGAGCCAGGGCCCGCTGAGAGCCTGGGCCTCCAGCAGCCAGGGCAGTCAGGGCGGGATGTGCAGTGATTCAGAGAGCGCCGGAGGCAGCAGTGAATCCAGGTCCATGGACTCTCCCACAGCCAGCCCCGGTAGAAGATGCCACATTAAACTTTGTGTGAAGTGGAACTTGTAATTTAATGTCAGTTGGTAATGTTTCTGGGTTTGTTTTGCAGGTGACTTTAAGCGCCGACTGCCCAGAACACCTTCCACCGGGACGATGTCCTCAGCCGACGATCTGGATGAGAGGGAGCCTCTTTCTCCATTAGACAACGGTGGGTGCTTGTGTTCCGTCTGTATGAATATGTTCTTTTTGTGTGTGTGTGTGTGTGTGTGTGTGTGTGTGTGTGTGTGTGTGTGTATGTGTGTGTGTGTCTTCTCCAGATCAGGCAGTTTTATGACATCCTTGCTAAATATAGCCTTGTGTCTGCAGAGGAGTTCGGGCAGGGAAGGAAAACTAGTGTGAGAGTACTGCTCAATACTCGTGAGATCATTTCAGTGGAGTAAAGTTTGCTGTTTCAGAGGTTTCTGCAGAATAATTTAGTGTTCTTTTCATTTAGAAACTGCTTTAAATTTAGCCTAATTTTATACACATCGTTCAGGGTTAGCTTTAAAAGGTTTCAGTCAGGCCTGAAAAATCTTGTTTCACTTTTCTAAAACTGCCAAGTGTCCTGTGTTTGTCAGGTCTGACAGAGATGGTGATCGAGACGGCGAGCTCTCCCGGTCCGTTCAGAAACACGCAATTGTCAAAGGCGGCTCAGACCCACAAGCTGCGGAAGCTGCGAGCTCCTTCGAAGTGCAGAGAGTGTGACAGTCTGGTTGTGTTCCACGGGGCTGAGTGTGAAGAGGTACAGACGCACCTCTAAATGTGGAAGCTAGTTGGTGTGTATGTGTGTTCAAGTTTTGTTTTGTGTTGTTTTGTTTTGCTAGTGCACCTTGGCTTGCCATAAGAAGTGTCTGGAGACTCTGGCTATCCAGTGTGGTCACAAAAAGCTCCAAGGCCGGCTGCAGCTGTTTGGCATCGACTTTGCCCAAGCAGCAAAAAACAGCCCTGATGGGATTCCTTTTATAATCAAAAAGTGCACATCTGAAATTGAGAGTCGAGCCCTCAACATCAAGGTATTTATGCTCCTTTCACAATCAGAAATCTTGTGTTGATCTCATCACAGACTCTCCTGTTGCCCGTTTTCCTTCGCTGTAGGGTATTTATCGTGTGAATGGTGCCAAATTACGTGTCGAGAAGCTTTGCCAGGCATTTGAAAACGGGAAGGACTTGGTGGAACTGTCCGATCTCTCACCTCATGACATCAGCAACGTCCTCAAACTCTACCTGCGACAGGTGCTCCTCAAATTCTTACTGACAGTTTATTATGTTTGGAAGGCAACACCTTATTAATTCATTTTCTAGCTATTTAGATGTACTTTCTCATATAAAATTGTAGGAACTTGATGTCACTGCTTAGATCGTTAAACACACATTTGCTTTATTCCCAAAAGCTACCAGAGCCACTGATCACATTTCGATTCTACAACAACTTTATTGGCTTAGCCAAAGAGTGCCAGAGGGTGGTAGTGGAGGAGGCTGTCAAACATCAGGGCACCCAGACGAAAGAGAAAACCAGCCCAAGCATCCAGATGAGCACAGTCCTGTCGAAGATCAGAGAGCTGCTCCACCAGCTGCCCGCAGCCAACTACAGGACTCTGAGACACATCATCGCTCATCTCAACAGGTAAGGGCTGTTAGCGAAAACCCAGATTTGGTCCGTCGTTTAAACTTCTGTTTGCTGATCTTTTTACTTAAACACTGATATGAAAACTTCCTCATAACACACAAAGGGAAACAGATACTTCCTCAAAGCATAGGAGGAACTAGTAGAACTGTTAAACCCTCACTGAACCAGTTTAATACGTCTGATCAAATAATTTTAGAATTTTATTCCTGTTCATGTTTCACTCTTCACCATCACAGAGTGACCGAACAGGCCGAGGAGAACAAAATGACCGCCAGCAACCTAGGCATCATCTTCGGCCCGACGATGGTGAAACCACGGCAGATAGATGCTGAGGTGTCCTTGTCTTCGCTGGTGGACTACCCTTACCAGGTACTGATGGTTGAGCAGCTGGTGCGACACTTCCACACCATCTTCGACGATGGTTCCAACATGGCCACCAGCGGCCACGCGTCTCCCAGACTGACCCCCCAGGAGAAGGTGCAGCAGCTCGGCAGACATTCTGCCTCTCTGACAGACATCAAAGAGGTGAGGAGGGATTTCAAATCAAAGGGGACTTTGTTCAAAGCGACGAGTGCAAAACAATCATGTACAGATAAAGCTTCATTAGTCGGTGTATTGAAAAAAATGATACAAAAAAACTAATAATGAAATTTAAAATAATGATAATTAAAAATAATCAAAATCCTATTGAAATAATCATATATATTTTTCTATCTCTTTTTCTCCTGGTGTGTGTGTGTGTGTGTGTGTGTGTGTGTGTGTGTGTGTGTGTGTGTGTGTGTGTGTGTGTGTGTGTGTGTGTGTGTGCGTGCGTGCGTGCGTGCGTGCGTGCGTGTGTGTGTGTGTGTAAATATAAATTCACGGACATTTGCTGGGAACAACCATTGACATATATACTGGACAATGGGTTTCCACAGGCTCCAATAACACGTTTTTGAAGAAAAATGGGAGGTGGCCACCACCGCCATTTTGACCGTGTCACAGGTTCCGTCAAACCCAGACAATTCCAAAAAAGGGAAAAGAGGTGGAGCTGAGGGAGGGGCTGTAAGGCTGGGATCAAGTGATGACACCCGTCAAACTGAAGCAATGTAGCTACAAGCTAACCCAAAGCTAACGCGGAGGTGGGAGCTAAGCTAATGGAGGTAGCTACCTAGCTACAACCGGAGATAACTGCACACAACACCAGAGCTTCTGAGTCAGAGATACGCCGGGCTGACCGCTGGGTAAAGCCAGGTGGAACACAGAGGTCTCCCGAGAGCTCCACAAATCGGCAGCCGCGTAGCAGACAGGCGCCGCGATCAGAGATGCGAGCTGCAGCTGCGGGGAGGGGACCATACCGATAGTCGGAATCCAGCTCCACCAACATGTTATATTTCAACCCATTTTAAAAAATGCAGTGTTATGTTAAATGCACTGGGTTATTCCATCTATGGCTATGGATGTTGTAGGACTGTCATGGTTGACACGTCTCTGCAACATTGCGTGGTCATCGGGGGCAGTTCCTGTGGAGTGGCAGACCGGGGTGGTGGTCCCCATCTTTAAGAAGGGTGACCTGAGGGTGTGTTCCAACTATAGGGGATCACACTCCTCAGCCTCCCTGGAAAGGCCTACTCCAAGGTACTGGAGAGGAGGGTCCGATCGATAGTTGAATCTCAGATAGAGGAGGAGCAATGTGGTTTTCGTCCTGGCCGTGGAACTGTGGACCAGCTCTATACCCTTGCAAGGGTGATGGAGGGGGCATGGGAGTTTTCTCAACCAATCCACATGTGTTTTGTGGATTTGGAGAAGGCTTGTGACCGTGTCCCCAGGGGCACCCTGTGGGGAACGCTATGGGGTGGGTGGCTTTCTGTTAAGGGCCATTCAGTCCCTATACCAGAGGAGCGTGAGTTTGGTCCGCATAGCCGGTAGTAAGTCGGACCTGTTCCCGGTGAGGGTTAGACTCCGCCAGGGCTGCCCTTTGTCACCGGTTCTGTTCATTACCTTTATGGACAGAATTTCTAGGCGCAGCCGTGGTGTGGAGTGTGTCAAGTTTGGTGGCAGGAGAATCTCGTCTCTGCTTTTTGCGGATGATGTGGTCCTCCTAGCTTCATCCAGCTCTGACCTTCAGCTCTTGCTGGGTAGGTTCGCGGCCGAGTGTGAAGCGGCTGGGATGAGGATCAGCACCTCCAAATCTGAGACCATGGTTCTCAACCGGAAAAGGGTGGCTTGCCAACTCCGGGTCGGGAGAGAGGTCCTACCTCAAGTGGAGGAGGTTAAGTATCTCGGGGTCTTGTTCACAAGTGAGGGTAGGAGGGATCGGGAGATTGACAAGCGGATTGGTTCGGCGTCTGCAGTGATGCGGACGCTGAGCCGATCTGTCGTGGTGAAGAGGGAGCTGAGCCAGAAAGCCAGGCTTTCGATTTACCGGTCGATCTACGTCCCAATCCTCACCTATGGTCATGAGCTTTGGGTAATGACCGAAAGAACGAGATTGCGGATACAAGCGGCCGAAATGAGTTTCCTCCGTAGGGTGGCTGGGCTCAGCCTTAGAGACAGGGTGAGGAGCTTGGACATTTGGGAGGGACTCGGAGTAGAACCGCTGCTCCTCCGGATCGCAAGAAGCCAGTTGAGGTGGTTTGGGCATCTGGTCAGGATGCCTCCTGGACGCCTCCCCGGGGAGGTGTTTCGGGCATGTCCTGCCGGCAGGAGACCCTCGGGTCGACCCAGGACACGTTGGAGAGGTTACATCTCCAATCTGGTCCGGGAACGCCTTGGGGTCCTGCCGGAGGAGCTGTTGGACAAGGCCGGGGAGAGGACGGTCTGGAGCTCCCTAGTTGGGATGCTGCCCCCGCGATCCAGACCCGGATAAGCGGAGGAAGACGACGACGCACTGGGTTTTACCCTATTAAATTTAAATGTCATGGTTAAACAGTACATATTAAAATCTAAGCTCAGCTCGGCAGTGACCTAAAATACATAAATATAATTTTACTTACCGAAAAAATGAAGTGGAGAATTCTTGGACGCTCAATTAGGGCAATTAATGCCACAGCAAGTCATTTTGTCCAACAATTGCACAAATAATATCAAAAAAAGAACGCACAAACTCTACAACCAGTGGTCAAAGTTGAGAGACTGAAAATCACGGAACAGTATTCAGGCTGAGGCCTTTCCATGGAGCTAGCTCTGCGGTCACGTGGGTCTGATGCTCATTAATTATACAGAATTTTGGCATTTAATACACTTAAACAGAAGAGTGAGAAAAAAATTCACCCCCCTCAGAGCTGTCATGAGTGTAAACTAGATAATTTAAACCTAAAACATGTTTTGGTACCAGGCTGTAAACATATTTATTTCTGCTGTGAAATTGGCATTTTTAACATGGGAGTCAATGAGGATTTGCTCGCTTCTGATACCAGCCCCCAGTGGATGAGGGTGGAACTGCAATTTTTGGTCGTGTTGGCTTCATTTTCAGACCTGAATTATGGGGGCTTGGGAACAACACTTAATTATTATGAAAAAAATGTCATATTTTAAAATCGAAAGTGTTAGTTTGTGTCTCTTAACATGTTATCTGCTGTAAATAGCTCTTTGAACAACCTCAGTTTGGAGAATGGAGATTTGTTCTGTGAAGCTAACAGTTGATCTAGTCTCAAACATAACATTGCTTCCTGCAAACTCCATTTTATTAAACTTTTGCTTCAATCTGTGTCACCTTTCATGGTCATCCTGGCAGAAATATGATTAGATTTTAGCCACGCAACTGCTCCCAAAGTGTTATTATTTACAGCCGCTGCCCATTTCCTCTGCAAATGACAAATCATTTTATTTAACTGCATTCTGTGAAATCTGCAGCATTTTAAGTGTCTATAAAACTGTGTGAACTGACAGCTGGAATTGTTGCAAGATAGCAGATTAGCTGTTAACTCATAAATCTTGCCAGTGCTAATCTATTTCTCCAAACTGAGGCTGTTCAAAGAGCTATTTCTAGCATATATTTTTCCACAGATCTGCTCTTAAGATCTAAACCTTTCCCTTATCTAAAAACGGGATGGTTTTAAGTTGCTCATGAGTAGAAAAATAGATGCTGGCATTTTAATTTCACTGTTCCTTTTGTCTCATCAGAGTTCCAAAGCATACAAAAGATTCTCATCGGTTATCCCATCATCACACATCCTGAGTGAGGTGCAGGAGGTCCGGCCTGGGAGGGACACAACGGAGCCCTCTACCTCGGAGAAACTCAACGGGGTGCAGGCTCCTGGTGCAGAAGGTCAAAGGTCGACATCGAACATCCCAACCATTGATACAGAACCAAAGGTCCAAATGCGCAATCAGCGTGGTCGACAGTGTTCCAGACCGATCAGCATGCCGCTGGAACGCCTGCCCGCCCCGGCTCAGATCAGCGAGAGGAATAACCGAAACGCGTCTGATAAAGCTGATGGAGGTTTTCCTCAGCGGGAGACTGAAACCATACAGGAGATGCCTGAGCCCGAGCGGGCTCGCCAGACTGGCTCATCTAGAATAAGCACCTATTACATCACTCCTTTTATCGACACCCAGGCAATGCAGAGGAGGACGTGGGACAAGAAGTACAAGCACTATCACGTGACACCCCGGACTGCCATGATAGTAGCCAACCTGCCGCCCGTCAACGCTGGACTGCAGCCTGTGAAGGCCACAGTGCCCGCATTCCCAGCTGTGACCACCACCCCTGTGGTTCCCACCACCAGCAGTGTCACCACCATGTTCTCCAACAACACAATGTCCCTGAAGCCCGTCAGGACTTCCAAACGGGAAAAAGACACAGAAAGTTCAGAGGACGAGTCTGGCAACTCACCAAAGCTCCCACTAACTCTCAGGCCCCCACGGACACTCCACCCCTCTCCTGAAACGTTCTACAGACCTCCACTTTCCAGTAACAGCAAAGCTTGGTCACTTCCAACCAGGACTACCACTACAGCCACCACCTCGCCCCCCTCCCCCACCACCCTATTGCGCTCCCTGTCTCCCACCAACCCCACACAAGCTCTACACCAGACACAGGACTCCACAGACAGCGCTATTGACCCCGGGGTCTTGACCTCCACTACCATTTCACCCTCGCAGTCTCCACCACCCAGCAGCCCCGACGACCTCAGCCCCACTGAGGTTAAACCCAGACTGCGATCTCGGCCGCTGCAGGACCACGAGCAGAGAGAAGCTCATTTTGTCTGACAAACAGAAAATATCTGTAAATATAAATAAATCTTTACAAACTTTTATCATCTAGAAGAGCGGAGAGACTGGAGGCCTGTGAAACCATCATAGTGTTCTAATGTTCTGTTTTACAGGGTGAGCCGTCATGGTGAAAAAATGTTCTATGAAATATTTTTATAAAAGAGAAAACTGAAGTTCGTCTTGTTCAGTATTTCATTTGTTACAAAAGTAAATGCACTTGCTGTTTTAGATTCTTTAAAATTTTCATTTTCATTCCATCAAGTCAGCCGTAAGGGTTTCAATTACGTTCTTTAACACGTCAACAGGTTGTTTTTTTACTGTCAGGCTTAAAGTACCGATGTGTTTATATATTCTTACAAACTCATTACATAATTATTCAAATATCCAGAAGAAAGATGACACGCATCGGTCTGTTGCTGCAAATTAAAAATATATATTTAAAATGTTTTGTTCTGAGAATGATTTTTCCTCCTTTCCTCCGTTTATTTCTGCACCAACATAAACACTTTTTAAATAATGTTAAGATAATTATAAATTTCAGGGTAATTTTAATATAAGGTTTTTATTTAAAGAGCAAGTCACCCCCTACCAGAGTCTTACTCCACTCTCACCTCATGTTTGAAAAATGCAACAAATGCCTTTGCTTGGCAGACCGAGAGGGTGGAGCGGCTAACAAACACACACACAGGCTCACAACGACATTGTGACATCATAATGTGCCAGCTAATGTCATAGCGTACCTCTTAGCCAATAGCGGTGGCAGATTTAAGAGTTTTTTTCCTGACAACGGCACAACACTGACAGTTTTAGGCAGAATATTTAAATTTTAACTAAGATGCACTGAAGTGCCAAATTATTGACGACACGTGTCTGCAGCACGATTAGACACTCATTTATAGTTTATCAGCAGATTTGGGGGTGACTTGTTTTTAGTTATGTTCAGTGAGATATTGAGATTGAACTGAATGGCTGACTGGCCAATCAAAGCGTAAAAGATCATTTGAACAGTTTCATCTCAGTTATGCTTTTGGATTGTTGTTGGTTCCCGTCATTTGTTTCATGTAACTTTAGATTTCTGGCTTTTTACGTTTGCATTTAGTGGAAGAAAATCTGAAAAACAATGAGGTCGTATGAGATTTAAGCTAGCCTCTGATTTATTTGTGAGTTTTGATTATTATAATGAGATTTTCATTTAGTTTTCTAGAACCAGAACCTGCTTTTTTAGATGTCATTTCCATTTCCATCCTTCTTTTTCTCCTCCACCTAATGTAGTTGTTCATTTTAAGCCCCTAAAAGGAGCTGATCTTCATGCTGTGACATCTCATTTTTGGATTTCAATCATGAATCTTTTTATTTTTCTGCATTTCAAACATTGAAATTTTCCACTCAAACCTGGATGATCTTTTTTGGGCTGAGGTGTGCTCACTGCAGACTCAGGTGGTCTAGATGTGCTCCGCTCAAACCTTCACCTCCTCACCCAATCACTCATGTCACCTGCGCCTCCTCTCTGAGCCTCTCAAGAGAAAGAGAGAGAGTGTCTTCTCATTCCTGTTCGACACACGCCAAAACACAAAAACAACCCTCTGAGTCCTGGCTGCTCCTGTGTCATTAGGTCCAAACTCTGATTTATTCTGAAAGGTTTTCCTCCCGAGTGACGTGAATGACTTGTGCAGGTTGATCTCGCTCGTGTGTCTTTTGACACATAAACGAGATTGGCTGCTGCTGCTGATGAAGCCCACCTTCTGTTTTTCTCTCCTTCAGGATTTCTCCTCTTTTCCTCCTTTTTTCTGCAGACATCCACCTAATTCTACCTCAAAATGGATGGCTGTTGTCTTTTTTTTCCAGCCTGCCCATGTTGAGCCGGGAGATTAGAGCAATCAGATTAGGAGTGCTGCTGACCTGCAGGCAGAGAGAGTACGCAACTCTGAGTCGTCCGAAGTTCCGCTTCCTTGTTCGTTTTTATATTACCTCAGCTGTTTTTTAATTCTGTAAATTTGTGAACCTCTTTTTCTGTTGCTGTGCGACTGTAGATTAGCATTTGATTACAGGTAAGCATCTAAATGACCTGCTTGTTGAGTGTTTTAGAAGATTCCATAAGAGCTGACAGGTGTTTTTGAGGATTTGCTTCTGTCATGGTTGGCTTATTGCTTTTTGTTCATTAACTCTAGCAGTCTTGTGCAACGATATCCTGTTGTGTGACATTTCTGCTTGAGTAAGAGTGATTTCAGAGAAGTCAGACACAAACCGCCTCCTTCTGCAGTTACTCTGTGTGTGTGTGTGTCTCAGGCTGCAGTAATCTGTTAGAAAAACAAAATCTAAGATTCCCAGATGCTCCCTGTGCTTGTTATTGTTTTTCTGCTCTCCAAATCTCTAAAATTAATTTGTCTTTGGGTCCAAATCTGCACGTACACATGACTTTTTAGGTATACCGTGGCGTGTATGCAGATCTGCATTTGGGAACAGCATTTTTTTTTTAGTTTTAATAATTATATATTTGTATTGATTATGCCCATATTTCTTTTTGCATCCACATCACAAACCAGTAAAGGTTTAGAGAAACATCCTTTTAGCATCACCAAGAGCTGTCTGAAGGAGCATTTCTCTGCGGTTTGAGGCAAATCATTTCATATTTTGGCAAAAATGTTATTTAAGTCAAATCCAAAGGAAGAAATAACTTTACGTTCTTTTTTTTAAACTGATGGCAAAAAGTACAACAAGGACATCAGCTGATGAGTTTAATTACAAGTCCAAACTTAAATTAAGAGATTAAATTAATTCAGACATCTTTAGAATGCTTCTTGAGCCAAAACCAGGATGTTGGTCATCGATGATAATTCTACCCGATAAACATTTAGGACTTTAAAACCGCTCTTCAGTCCACAAAAGGGTAACTGCAGAAAAAAACGTGGAAGGTAAAATTTTGTTTTGATTTATGCACTAAGAGTGTCATGTTGCTGATCAATCTTTAATAATATAGATGTACAGACAGAGTCAGGTTGCTGCCACCTTTGTGGCAGTGCCAACATACAAACAAGCTCAGGTCTACAGGAAGTCCCACTGATTTGGAGGGAATTTTCAGCTTCATCCTGTCCGCTGTGACCTCGCTCCTCTCCGTTTGTATCATGCAGGTCTCAAACAGGAGCTGAGAGTGGAGTCAAACCAAAACACTTAGGACAAACAGCAGCTAATGAGAAAGGAATTATGTTTGATTTGATCAATCAGTCCTAGACTTTAGTGTTTAAAAGATCTGTCCCTCTGATGGATAGACACATCCTGATTATGACAAGAAAAGCTGAGTATTAAAGGTGTGGTTCACTGAGAAAACATTTTTAATGATTATTTTTTGTTATAATTGGTCGCTCTTGAGTATTTATGCATGAAAATAGTCTCCTACACCTATCTTCTATATTAGCTTCTGATAGAAAATAGAAACTCTAGGTAATGAAAAGCCTGACAGGTCTACGTCACTTAACCTTCATGGACTCGCCCATCTTGGCTCGCAACGGGGAAGGCTGTTGTTGGTTTAGCGTCTAGGAAACAGCAGATAATGTCTCGGTTAGCAGAAGCTAATCATTAGCAACTCCACCGCATGGCAAAACTCCAGGCTTGTGTTGTTTGTGGAGATAAAACATCAACATTGAGAAGTAAACAGCGTCAGTGGTAGTGTCGCATTGCTGTTAGCCAATCAGAGGGGAGAAGCTCAAATATCAGGAAGACTAAATCCTTCTAGAACCTGAAACAGGACCTTTTGTATCCAGAGACTCAGAGTACAACTTACAAGGCATTCATTCCAACTAGAGACCACTGCAAATGTATTAAATAAACAGTCGAACCACACCATTAAACCAGTGTGAGATGGCACCATTGCTGTCTGATTAACATGAACAAACAGGTGACATTTTGTTGTTGGCTTTATAAGCTGGATGCATAATTATTTTATATCATTAGCTTGAAGTTAGTCAGACTTCTTGGCCTAATGTGGCTGTAGTGATCCAGTGAAGTTGTGTACTTGCAGGTTTGTGACAGTCTGATGATCCCTTCCGGGGGTTGAGCTTCAGAGCAATGAAGACAGGCTCTCAAATCCGCCTGTTACTGTGGAAGAACTGGACTCTTCGCAAAAGACAAAAGGTAAAAATGTTCCCAAATAAAAGTTCAAAGGAAAATGATGCGATGGCCCTAGAATTAGGATCAACTGGACATATCCAGGTTATTACCTGTATATGATTCCATATCTTTCTCACATGGTTCTGTCCAGATCCGCTTCCTGGTGGAGATCTTCTGGCCTGTACTGTTGTTCATCGGTTTGGTGTGGTTGAGGAAGGCCAATCCATTGTACCAACAACATGAGTGTGAGGAAAACATAACTCCTGAGACACATCAGCAGCAGCTATCACTGCTAATCCCCTCCTTTAGCTATGAAAACATCAACTTCTATCAGCTGGAATTCTTTTCCTGGGAAGAATAACAGAGAAAAACTTTTTTGGCGAGTGTGTCACAATCAGGTCATGAGCACGATACGATGTCTGTTTGTTCAGGTCACTTCCCCAACAAGGCCATGCCTTCAGCAGGGATTCTCCCTTGGATCCAGGGTATTTTTTGCAACGCCAACAACCCCTGCTTCAGATATCCAACCCGGGGGGAGTCGCCGGGAGTTATTTCCAACTATAACAACTCCATGTAAGCAGAAACAACTTCTAAACCTGGGAAAAATTCACGTAAAGCTACATTTTCCTTTAAAGCAAATTTTTGGCTGACCCCAGATTAGCACGATTCTACGTCGACGTCCAGGAGCTTCTGCTCAACGAGACGGAGGTGCAGCGATTTGGACGCCTTTGGCGAGATGTAACGTCCTTCACAAACTTTATGGATACTTTACGCCATAATCCTTCTTCAGTTGCAGGTAAAGAAGATGGGTTAAATGTATTTAACATTGGATGGGTGTAAAAACAGTTTGGTCAGTATTGTGATATTTCTCTTTCTTTGGCCGTGATTGTCCGTTTAGGCCGCGGGCTGAGGATTGACGACATTCTGAAGGATGATGAGGTTTTAACAGCCTTCCTGTTAAGGGACATCAACCTCTCAGACTCTGTTGTTCACCAGCTTGTAAATGCACAAATACGACTGGAACAGGTGAAGTTTGAACCACTGCAAAAGCTTTAGATGAGTTTTGACGGTGCACCTATACAACACTAAAAGAACAGTGAACACATAGATCTTTGTGTTTTCTTTTGTGGGATTGTGTAGTTTGCGTACGGCATCCCAGACCTGCAGCTGAAGAACATAGCATGCAGCCAGGCTCTGCTGGAGCGCTTCATCATCTTCCCCAGCCGGATGGGACTCCACGGGGTTCGCAACGCCATGTGTGCCCTCAGTCAGCAAAGGCTGCAGAGGATAGAAGACGTCCTCTATGCTAATCTGGACTTCTTCAAGATCTTTAAACTGGTTAGTAGTTTAAAGGGGCAGTGTGTAGTTTCCTGCCATTAGGGGACAGTACACACATTTCAGGGTAGTTTTACACCACATCACCGTGGCTGTCGCTAGTTAACGGTTATTACAGTAAATGTTGTTACCTGTGGTGCAGAAAGCATGCGACCTCGGTGTGAGTCCTCAGACATTGATGGTCCTTCATTTAATTCCATTGAGAGAATTCAATGCCGATGCTAGATTTTTGGCGCTGCAGTTTCCGGATCAGCTTGGCGGTCTGCGTCTGCCGATGAAATCGTCATACTACGGCGATAACACTCGGCCAAAATATATTGCATCTATTTTTCAATTCTGTTCTTTTGCATAGATTTTGGAAATAGTTTAGCGGTTTTGTTATTAAGATTGTGTTTCTTACTGCCTAAATGTTTTTTAACGTGGTAACGTAACTTCCGTAAATCATAAGTTCTTCCAATCATCTAGTGTGATGTCATCGAAAGACGCAGGACCCTGAGCCGACCTGAAGGAAAGATAGCATCTAGACATCTCCCAAAGATGCTAGATGTACTTTAGATTTTTATGGTTTTATGTTACAAATGCGCCAATATTTTTCAACTACTGGACATAATTTTATCTATTTTCAACAACATTTTAATGGATGTTTCCAGAGATTAAAGGTACAAATACACATTGTCTCTTTAATTAAAAATGCTTTATAATATCTCAATATCAAGACATCACCTAATCAAAGTTCAGAGACTAATGAGTCCCCTTAGGTAGATTATCATTAATCCAGGACATGGCAACCCTGAGAGTTGAAACCTTTTGGATGAGGTGAAACATCTTCAAACATCAAAGGAAGTCCAGTTGCCTTTTATGACTTTTCAAATCTTAGGATGCCTGTTGGATGTTCTCGTCATTTTGCTCAAAAGCTCTTCAGGATTTTTGTGATGTCCTCATTCCCATGCAGATGCCCCTACGAGTTCTCCCAAGAGCAATCTGAGTGAAATTTTAAAAACTATTTCCGTTTGTCAGTTTCAAAATGAACCCAGTCTTGCACCACTCCCCACAATCATCTATCCTCCCTCTCCATCTTAGCACTGTGTGTTCTAATGGAGTCGGGCACTTTCATTTTGGAACATTTGCACAGAGAATGGAGATTGCCTGGAAAGATATGTTTAAAAATGGAAGCCGGAGAGTGCAACCTGTGATTTTTTAAAAAGAAGTTTCATATTTGCAACAAGATCAGCAAAACAGATTATTTTCAGCTTCGGCTATCACTCTCAAAGTGTGACATGGTTGTTGGGCAGATAAAATGTATCGCTGCTCGTTCGTCCACAAAAGAGCTTTCTCTCCCCCTGAGCCTGAGATCAGTGGAATCAGTGGTCTCCATTGAAAAGCAGCTGAAACTCACCTGTTCAAGCTGGTTTTGGTGTGACCTACTCTCCCTACCCATTCCACCTTCCTCAGGATCCACTGATTTCCCTCGTTCCTATTCACTCTCCCTCTCTTTCTCTACATTTTTAATCACAATTGTCTATTGTAGCTCATTTTAAACATATTTTTAATCATTTTCTAAATTCTTTTTTACATTTTAAATTTTTTGTTTTGTGAAGCGCCTCGTGATTTTTATCTTGAGAGGCTCTATATAAGATTTTTTTCTTTCTTTCTTTCTTTCTTTCTTTCTTTCTAACCTAAAGCATGAGCAATGATCTGAGTCAGAGTTTGAGGATGAACCACATGCACTATTTTAAGCCATTTAAGTGTATTTGTTAACTAAAATGTGACGACATTTTTGATGGAATATATATTACACACTGCCTAATCCTCTAGAGAAAGCACAGTTATAGCCTCTTTGGTCCAAAAAAAAAGTCATGTGCAATCTCGTGCAATTTTGTAAAAACCTGTTAGAGTTTAGGGGGATGTGAGTCAGTGTCAGCTACTAATGTCTCAAACTGTTGCTCCTTATCCTTAAAACGTGCTGAGTTGTTATTTTGTGTTAGCGAAGGTGGTTTAGCTGTGACAGCCATCAGTTAGACATCTAATGATCACTGTCTGAGATTTTCATTCATCTGTCCAGTGGTGTGAGTGATGCCAATTGCTCTCATGTCTTTTAAAAATTACTACTTTATCATTGTCCTTCAACAAGTAGCAAAAGTTTTGTGGTTTTGAAAATAAACAATGATTAGGAGAAGCATCCATCCATCCATTTTCATCCGCTTATCCGGAGACGGGTCGCGGGGCAGCTGTCTGAGCAGAGATGCTCAGACTTCCCTCTCCGCAGCCACTTGGGCCAGCTCCTTCGGGGGAATCCCAAGGCGTTCCCTGGCCAGCCGTGTTCTGGGTTTTCCTTTAGGTCTCCTCCCGGTTGGACGTGCCCAGAAAACCTCACCAGGGAGGCGTCCAGGAGGCATCCTAACCAGATGCCCGAGCCAGCTCAACTGCCTCCTCTTGATGTGGAGGAGCAGCAGGTCTACTCTGAGCCCCTCCCAGATGACCGAACTTCTCACCCTGTGGAGAAAACTCATTTTGACCGCTTGTATCTGCGATCTTGTTCTTTTAATGCCACCCAAAGCTCGTGACCATAGGCGAGGGTTGGAACGCAGATCGAACTTGTTTTCTCACTCTCACGTTTTTTACGTAATATGGGGCCACATGTATTCTTATCACTTGTGGGGAAAACTCCTCCTAGAGACATGAAGAAACCAGGTGCTGCCGCCAAAGCTTTGTTGGCCTAGTTGTAGTTTGCTTAGTATACACATGTGTTCTGGTTCAGGCTGGGTGAGTCAGCTGAGTGGCTCAGGGAATTCACACAGCATTAACCCTCTTGGCCTGTTTCAGTAATGGGCTTATACAGCCTGTAAGGTATCCCATAAGAAGGGGCACTGCATCTGCTACAAACGCTGAGCCAACAGGTAGCTCTACGAGTTCAGTCCCCATTCTGTTGTATTGTTTGTTTTGTGTTCTGAAGAATGAAAGAGGAACCCAAACATAAATATTTGTATGTTAAATTGTCACATGAGTCTGTCAAAGGCTTTGCTTTTCCATGCAGAAATATTCCCACACCTAATTCATTTATCTGCATTCCAACGAAGCAATGCTTCAAAAAATTCTGAACAAATTTGAGTTTTTTGTACTTGGAATAAAATATTTTGTTTTCAGTTCTAGTTTTATTGACACCTAACCCACTACAGTGGCACGCATCTATAAACGGGTTCATTCGTTATAAAATCTTAATTCCAAAATATTTTAGCCATGCCACTTGGAAAAAGCCCTAAACGCTCTCCAGTTCAAGACAGACAGCATACTCCGTCGTCCTATGGTTTCTCCTTCCTTCTTCTTCAGAAGCAGTTTAAACATTTGGCACTGTGCTTTGGATTGTTATGCGGACGTATTCCTCCTCGCTGTTAAGCTACTTATCACAGAGTGTAAACACACGAGTAAGCATTTCGTATAATCCAGACATCATTTAATGTCCTCTTCCTTCTGCGTGTATACAGCCCCACATCACCACACTGCCACCTCTGTGCTTCCTTGTTGGTTTGATGCAATTGGGTCCCATCAGACATTTACAGACTTTATCTGAAAAAAAAATGTCTTGCAATCATAATTTTGTTTTTAGAAAATATCAAATGTGCTCAAAGCTTTAGAGAATATTCTCACAAACTTGTTGCACACGCGGTGCACAGCGACATCATTTTAGGCTTCTCTGATTAGTGGAACTATGCGAGTCACCCATCTGGCAGGCAAAGTGAATCACGCAGCCATTTCCTTAGAATACCTTCTTCCTTCAGGGGTCTTAGCACACCTCTGTTGTCGCTTAGCTTCCCGGGGCTGGAGGCTAGGAGGGGGATCTGGCCGTCTGGCTGGGGTCTGGAGTGGTGGGTCACTTTGCTCGGCGTTGGGCGGGGGAGCCTGCTCATCAGTAACCCAGCAGAAAGGGTCGAACTCTGGGAATCAGTGAAGGTTGTACCCTTTGTGCAGCAATACCGGGACCAGAGTGAATAGGGTGTGTATGGGGATTATGAGTGGGTGTCTGGCGTGCATTTTTGTGAGTCTTAGGTTGTATGTGTATGTGTGAGCATGAGGGAGGGAGTGTGTGACTGTGTTTGTGTATGACTGTATATGTCAGGTGGGGCCTTTGACTCCTCCCCTCTCCTGGGACTTCTTTTGCTGCTATACATCTTCGTCTCCCCTCCCCCGCCACACCTGGTGTGGAGTGTTCGTGGCTCCCAGGTCAGGGGGTTTACGATTTTTGGCATCTGCCTGATCAATCCCGGTGGCTGCCTGGTGGGGTCTGGGTCCCTGGGCTCTGCTGGGTCCCCGCCGGGGCTGGTCGCCCCTGGGTCCCGGGTCGCTGGGTTCCCAGCTCGGCCAGCTTGCGGGTGGGAGGCTGCGGGCGGGCCTGTGGGCTTGCCGTTGATATTCCTCGGGACTCTGCCGGCTGCTGGTTGTGCCCCCCCGGGGCAATCCTCTGCGCCTCTCAAGGGGGGCAGGGGCTTTTCTGGTCGCAGTCTCCCAGGGGTCCCTGGGCTCTGGGGCAGCTCCTGGATCTCTGAGACTTGGAGCTCCTTCCATCTCCTACGCATCTTTGGGGGGCAGATCTGTGGCCCCTCACACTCTCTATTGGACGATCCTATAGAGAAACCTTACATAAACAAGCGCGGGTACACACACAGGTGCTCACATGGTGCTCTCATAAGTATGGACTTGGGCACGTTCAACACATGTCTTAAGACTATGGTTGGCACCAAATGCACTGTGATTTATTATCGTGATTGTTCAGTTAAACAATGTTGATTATATATTTCCTCATCAGGTTGACGCAGTGATAGCTTACTCCTGTTGTATTGTTGTGTGTCCCTTTTCTTTTTTTCTCTCTCTCTCTCCTTCTGCAGGTCTAGAAGCAGACTCTTGTTCATCATTGATTGTTTAATTTTTTAAACCCCCCCCCCCCCCCCCTTTGTCTCTTCCTTTCCCTTTCACCTCTGTCTCCGTGTCTGGTTGGAATTACAAAGCATTCAAAAAACAATAACAATAAAGTTTTAAGTATCAGGCGTGACATTAAAAGCAGAAGCTTTGATGCTCCACCTGAGAGTAAATCTGTAAGGCTTGTCACCAGCATTCAGACATCAATTCTGTTTGCTTCACAGCCAGACAGGACACGGGGAAAAAAAATTAAAAAAAGAATACCTTCTTCCTCTGGAAAAGGCTGCGTCCGTGCTCTCACATGGGACCATCTGAACATGATTTACATATCAGATTTAATGCCTTTAATTTTCTTCAAGAGTCTGCTTTTCTACAGAATTAGCTTAGGAGTGAGGCAGAAATGTTTTACATGTGAACTTTGGCATTCATGTGAGAAAATGCTCTCCCCGGGTAAAAGCATCTGAGTCATGATCTCTGTTTTAATTTCAAAGCCCATTACCATTTTGACCTCTGACTTAACAACTTTTCTACACCTAATAAGTTCTTGACTCCCTTCTCCGTTAGCTTCTCAACACCCTCCCTTCCTGTTCCCTCACTTTTTTCTCCCCACCCTTAGCCAAACGGCCTCCCTCCTTCCTTCATTCATTGAAATGCAGGCACAAGGAATGCAAGAGGAAGGATATCTCTTGTGTGTGTTTGTCTTGGCACACACGGTTCCCTCAGCCTTAGCAGTTTGCCCTGACTAGGCGCTTTCTAACACCTATTGTGATGGTTTCTCAACATAAGGGCACTGATGGAGCTTCAGGGCGATGATGATGCTTCTGTGTTTCATCTCAAATGATTGATCTCAACTTTTGAGAGTAGTCCAACTATTTCCATTGTTGCTACGTTAGATCCAAAGTGCATTAATACCAACAACTGGATTGGACAGTGTTAGTGTTTTGCTCAGTGGGCTGCTAATTGCAATTCCTGTAAATCTAATGTGAAGAAAGTGCACAAAAATGGTTTCCTTCCTCAAAGAAAAACACTTCTTGGAAGTTTCCAGAACTTAAAGATTGTTGTTTAGTGTGACTCATCTTTGACCTTGGTGTGTTTATCCGTCTATCATCACAAGGCACAAAATGAACAAATAGACACTTGTTTTTAAATCTGCTGTTTGATCTGCATTCATTCCATTTCATTTGAATAATTGTCCTCATTTTATTCTTGTGATTTAAAAAAAGTTTTTTTTTTTTTTTTCATAGATGCCTCAGGTTCTGGACAGCAGATCCCAGGGGATTGACCTGCATTTCTGGGGTCAGGTTCTCAGAGCAGCATCGGAGAAGATCCAAGTTGTAAGTGCTCCCCAAGTCCGTGCTCGTTAGCGCTCCCCTTCTGCTCCGCAGTACTGCAGGATCAGAGGCACCAGTATTTTTAGTCCAGCAGGAAACTCGCCTTTTCCGCTGCTCTATGATTGAGAATTGGAAAAAGAGGAGGCTGAGTGATGAACTCAACAATGTAGGGGTTTGACATGTGGGTTACCGATCTACCTTTTCAACTTTTGTAAGCCCAGATCATGCCCATGCATATGAGTTTGCATGCTCGTGTGATAAGAACGCCTATAGGACAAATATAGCAAATTACCAATGGATTGTAAATGAAGTCTATGTAGTAGCTGTTTGAAATACTAGAAAGGTAAAATACTTGATGGTTTAGACTGCGTGGTTGACTCACAAAGAGATGGCTGTTTTTGGCTGAAAATTGAGAACAGATAGTTACACAACAGCCATGGCAGATTTTGGTGCTAACCCTTAAAAAATGTAAAGTTAGCAGGTCTGCAGCTCAAGCCATGAACACAAAGCAGAGTACCCTGCTTCAGCGTCATTTGCTTTCATCGATGCATATATAAAGGGACATGTTGCAGTTTTGGATTGCTTTTAGAACCCCGTAGAGTCCCTAAGTCAAAGCAAAAGTGAAGTTTATCTCCTCGATGTGTGTTCGTCTTTTTAAAGCCCTTAATCTAACAGCTGAAATGTCTCCTCAGCCTTCATTAGTTTCTACAGGAGTGGTTCATTGCTATACCAAACCAATCAGGGGTGTTCATGATCTAAACCATGCAGGGAACCTGCTGGAGACAGACTGCAGCGCTGACATGTTAGCTCCGCTTTTACTAAGTCCAACAGGGACCCGGCTGGCACTCTGAAGTTGCAAGTGCAATATTCTGGTCACAGAAGGTGGTGGGGGTCTGAGTGACTTTTCATTCACACTGTAAAGCAGGGCTCCTCAACTAAATCTGATTAAGGGCCAGAGTTTTTTCCAGCAGACACTGTGAGGGGCAGATGCTCTTCTAAAATAAAGTAAAAGTATTTTTGTATCTTCATTTATTAATATTTTAAATGGCTTTGTTTTCCATCTAAACTGTTTTGATTGTAGTTTCAATGTTTGGAGAACATAAACAGTTTTTGATATTTGGGACATAAATCTTGATGCTAAACTTCAAAGTCCCTTAATTGGGGAGTGTTAGGGCCCAAAGGGTTGGGAGGCCGGGTGGAAAGGTCTGACGGGCTGTAAGTGGCCCGCGGGCCAGCAGATGAGTTTGTCTGCTATAAAGGGTAATTTTAGCAAATAGTGGCTCAAGAAAAGGATTTAAAAAAAGGAAAAAGTTGCTTAGTTTGCCTTCATATACTTTTATTTTACCACAATTTTAAATATCTCTTGCAAATTTCTCTCCGTTGTTGCAGAATATTCCAACCTTTGGAAATACCGTCAGACATACTTTAAAAAGTTGTGCTTAGCCAAGAAAGAGTTTCTAAAACCTGAAACCAGAGCCAAGTGCAGATTTCTATCAGACCACTTGAATTTTCACTTGGACTCTTTGTCTAGCCTGCACACCTGTAATGAGATGTGTGCTTTGGCACGTTCACCGTGTGTCCCAGAGGAGGGAGCGTATAGACACTCCTGGCCAGGGGTGACAGAAAGAAAGAAAAGGGTGGGAGGCACGCTGAGAGTGAAGGACGAGAGGAAGGAGGGACATTCCTTTGAGGTGACACATCCTGTAGGTGGGACCTTTTGTGTCACCGTGGTGACAGAGAGGCGAGCCAAATTCTTTCATTACCCACCTCTGCTTCTTTTTTTTAGCTCACTGAGAAATGAAGGAAGAGGTAGTGAGTGAGGCAGATTTTAGAGTTTTAAATCAAGAGTACACATTCACAAAGTTCTGCTCTTAGGAGATGTTTACAAAACTACTTCAAATCGTTTTACTCAATGGCAAAAAAAAATGTTATTTATGGAACACAAATTCTTGGAAGTATATTTACCACAGATGTTCCTGGACAAATGCCTTCCTTTCCCAAATGACAGCAATTCAGGTTACCCCCCTCATAATTTCTTTTAAAAGGAGGAAATGAAAGACATCGGGGAGGGCGGGGGGGCTATTTTTATCCAGTCAATAGGAGGATATTTAGCTCACCCATCGACTGTCCACCATGTTTGCTTATCTTTCAACTATTGTTTTCTCATGATTATTTACGTTATGAAATTCACAGGGTATGAGTGAAAATAAGAAATGTAAATATCCTCGTCTTGTATATAATTACACGATGAAGGTCAAACTGATAAAAAGCCTAATTGTTTAGACACCCCTAAGACAACCTTGACATTTACGTATCTGCTTGGAGACGCTCCCAGGGATAGAATTTGTTTTAACTCTGCAGCACAGATGATCAGTTTTATTGCAGAAAATTTAAAACACCAATTTACTGCAGTTTTTGGCCATTTTGCTTCAGATAAGCTGGTTATTTAAAATAGCTGAGGAATGTTGGTTCGATATGAAATGTGCAATTTTGTATTTCATTTAGATTTGTCCCTCAAATCAAAATTGAGAATGCAACACATGAAAACTGTGCTTAATTTAATTATTTTTATTTACAAAGCACAAATTTACAAATCATTTTGAAATAATGACACATTAATAGTTGGAAATAATTTAACCTCATATCTATGGAACTCAAAAGTATTCAAAATTCAATGAATAAGTAAGACATTATGAAATAAATATCTACATGAAGAAATACTAGACAATCATGTAATCTGACAATTAAATGATGAAATAACAGAATGTTATGTAAAATCTAAGCTCATTATTATGAAATATTTTTTCATTCTTCTTTTAAAATGTCTTTATTAATATAATGTTTTTTTTTTTCAAAAGTAATTTTTTCATAATATTCCTAATTAATATTGAGCCATTTTTATTTAATTCATGCAGTTTTAATTACATAACGTCTTTTTAACAAAGGCAGCTTTTGTTTCTTAATATTGTTTTTTACCATGGCTGATTCATTTCATAATGAGACTTTACAGCAGAATGTCTCAATCCGTCAGTCAAGCCAGTGGGTGTGACCTGCAACGCCATTGGTTAATCCTTCAACATCGTTTGGTTTTGCCTGGATTTCTGGTCACCGTACATGACCGGACAGTTTAAGGTAGTTCTCTGTAACACTTTCAAGGTCAATGGTCATGAAAGATGGCGGCGTTGCATGAACTTAGTTTAGCCCTGTTTTCTTTTGCAGAACAGGTAGAGTTCAGTGGTTTTTCAGTAAACAATATTTTGAGTTGTTTGGATGACATTTTTGAAGCATTTGGTTCGAGGGTTAGGGTTAGGGTTACTTTGTGAGTGATTGCTTTTGTCTGACTGAATTAGCAGCCAATGACACACTGGCTCCACCCCGTTAGTCTTGACTGACATGATGGGCAACAGAGGAAAGAATAACTCCAACCAAACCAGTAGAGCGTTAAAGGTGTGGTTGACCGAAAAACCATTTTAATGATTGTTTCTGAATATAATCTGTTACTTTGAGTTTTTCATGCAGGCTGAACATGAAAAGTCTCCTATCCCCTGCGTTTGCTTCTGATAGAAAATAGACGGTGAAATGCTAGGATTTGAAAATCCTCACATATCTATGTCACACTGTGAATCTGCATTCAAGGCCTCGCCCATCTTGGCTTAAGCTCGCCCACAGGAAGGCTTCTTAAAAAGAAAAGTGCAGCGAGGAGAGAGACAAAGAGAGAAGTGTGTTGGTGATTGTGACTTCGCAATAGGGCTGAATGCGTTCTGTTAGCCAATCAGAAGCGAGGTGTGTGCATTTCATTCATAATAATGAGCAGTCCTGTTTTCAGCTCACCTCTGCACCAGCAAACTTCTGCATCTCAGATCAGGAGCATCATAGCTTAAAAAAAGACTCTCAAGGCATTGATTTACATTTGAGAAGTCTGCTAATGTATTGAACAAGTAAACTACACCGTTAAAGCGTAATCAGATCAAAAGCCAGATATCAACCTACGTTTTTATTCCACAGCTGATGAAACGAGAAAGCTCTCACGAGCTCCTGAAGGTGTTCACCTCTCTGTTCCAAGTTGGAGGTCCCCCCTCCTTCACCGAGCTGATGTCTGGTGTGTCAAGCCTCTTCTGTGGGTACCCAGAAGGAGGAGGGTCTAGGGTCCTGTCCTTCAACTGGTATGAAGACAACAACTACAAGGTTTTTCTGGGGGTGAACGGCAGCAAGAACCACAACTATGTCTACGATGACTCCACCAGTAAGAAAATAACATAATGTCAGGAAATCATACCACAAGCTCCATTCAGTTGTTGTGTAACAGCTTGTATCTCCTCACATTTCACTGAAAAGTTAGAATTTACTACTTATTTCACTTAAAGGCTTAGAATGCAAATGAAAAGAGTTTTTAATGGTGACACAAGGCTGAAGGATCCGTCTAGCAGCTGCTTTTCACTCAAAATTAGGTTTGGACAGCTGTTCCAGGTGAAAAAACAAGAAACTGCTGCAATTAAAACACAGTAACTGTAAAATGTTCCTGGAAGTTAAACATGGAAGGACATTTTATTTATTTTCTGTCTTTGTCAAGATGTTACCTTGCAAATGTTCCCGTTTCCTTTCAGTGCTCTGGCAGAAAAAGTAATGCTTCTACCGACTTTATTGGCTGAATGAGAGTAACACTATGACTAAATGTAGGGTATATTTTTAAATTAAAATTATGTATTTAAATCATTTGAACAAACAAAGAAAAAGTCCGTCGTACATCTGAATAAAAGCCAGCTGTGAAGATATCGTCACTCTTTCAGATGTTGCTTCTTCTCCGTTACTGAGCCTTTTTACATTTTCTCTGCCTTTAGCTCCTTTTTGCAACTCCCTGATGCAGACACTGGAGTCCAACCCTGTCACAAAGATCGTGTGGAATTCAGTCAAACCCCTGCTGATGGGAAAGATTCTGTACACGCCCGACTCCCCAGCTGTCCGCAAGATATTAAAGAGCGTAAGGGCCAGCCTTCACCTCTTTCTTTTTCCATTATTGTTTTTTTTTACAACACACTTACCATCCCCCTGCACCACCACCCTGTGTGAAATGAGTGGACTCCAGATGTAAACGACTCCGCAAAAGGGTGGAAGGTCTGCAGGCTGAGGGAGGAAAGGATGAGGAGGAGTGGATCGAACAATAAATTGAATGTGTGGGGGCAGAAGTTGAATCGATCGTTCATGTCATCTCATTTTTGTGTACTAGTATAAAAATGTTTGTCAAATTTAATAGAACTTGTGCATTTTTTTACTTTTTAATCCAGGCCAACACAACGTTTGAGGAGATAGAGAGGCTCCAGAACCTGGCCAAAACCTGGGAGGAGGTGGGACCTCAGCTCTGGGAGTTCTTTCACAGCAGTGTTCAGATGAACATGATCAGGGTACGAAAAGCACCAAACATTTTGTGCATGATTTTTATAATGCATGCACACATTAATAGTTGGAAATAATTTAACTAGTTAATTCAGAGACAAAACTAGCTTCAGCTGCAGGAGAAGAATGTTTAAAAGGAACGATATAACAGAAAGCTTTATTATCTATTCAAGTTACATATTTCTTAAATAGTTGCCTGTCGGAGGACTCCAAAGCTTACAGTGAACCATTCACCCACTCACACTTACTGGTGGTGATGAGCTGCAGTGTGGCCACAGCTGCCCTGGGGCACTGACAGAAGCGAGGCTACCGAGCACAGGCGCGACCGGTTTCTCCGACCACCAGCAAAAGGCGTTTATACATTATAGTCAGGTCCCTCCTCCACAATCCATACTTTAATTTGCTGTTTCTTCTTTAGGTCTCTTAAGCACCAAACCTCAGAAAGATCTCAATTTTTGAGAAAGTTGCTGCAGACTAAAAGCAGCACAAATACAACAGGACTTGACCTATTAGTAATGGTTCTTATTCCAATCAGCAAAAGCCGAGGTCACAAGTTTCTGCTGCATTTATTATGTGGGTTTAAATCGGACAACATTGGAAACCACATCCTTGGTCACATGGCATTCGACAGCTAGTTCCCACAATGCTGCAAAACTTTCACAAGAGTATCAGTATCCTTATGTGAGTTCAAGAGCTGTACGCTGGTGCTGCTGGAATATTTAACATGTTCAAAAAAATCTGCATCACATATTTTCTCTTGAAGTAGTTACAGAGACGTTATGCATGTTTAGAACATGACCTAAATTAGTTTCTAAGAGTCGGAATGGTTGAGAAACGTGAAGCATCTTCAGAGTTGGAAACCAAACCTAAAAAAATGAGGATGAATGATGAAAAAAAAATACAGTAAAATACTCTTTTTAAATAGGAAATAGGATTTCTAGGCACAGCCACGGTGTTGAGGGCATCCGTTTTGGTGGCCTGAGGATCAGGTCTCTGCTTTTTGCAGATGATGTGGTCCTGTTGGCTTCATCAGAACGTGATCTTCAGCTTTCGCTGGAGCGGTTCGCAGCTGAGTGTGAAGCAGATGGGATGAGAATCAGCTCCTCTAAATCTGAGACCATGGTCTTGATTTGGAAAAGGGTAGAATGCCTTCTCCGGGTCAGGGATGAGGTCCTGCCCCAAGTGGAGGAGTTTAAGTATCTCAGGGTCTTGTTCAGGAGTGAGAGAAAGATCGAGCAGAAGATCGCTAGGTGGATTGGCGCTGTGTCTGCAGGGTTGTGAGCGTTGTACCGATCTGTCGTGGTGAAGAGAGAGCTGAGTCAGAAGGTGAAGCTCTCGATTTACCGGTCAATCTACGTTCCTACCCTCACCTGTAGTCATGAGCTTTGGGTAGTGACCGAAAGAACGAGATTGTGGATACAAGCGGCCGAAATGAGTTTTCTCTGCAGAGTGGCTGGGCTCTCCCTTAGAGATAGGGTGAGAAGCTCAGTCATTTGGGAGGGGCTCGGAGTAGATTTGCTGCTCCTCCACATTGAGAGGAGCCCATTGATGTGGCTCAGGCATCTGGTCAGGATGCCTCCTGGACACCTCCCGTGTTAGGTTTTCTGGGCACGTCCAACCGGGAGGAGACCTAAAGGTAGACCCAGGACACGTTGGAGGGACTATGTCTCTCACCTGGCCAGGGAACGCCTTGGGATTCCCCCGGAGGAGCTGGCCCAAGTGGCTGGGGAGAGGGAAGTCTGGGCCTCTCGCCTTAGGCTACTGCCCCCATGACCAGACTCCGGATAAGAGGAAGAAAATGGATGGATGGAATAAAATACTCCATGATGAAATTTTTGCAACAGAGTTTGCAAGTTTGATGCAATTTATCTTCTAATACATCGTATTATTGTCTTGACCCAGTAAAAGAGAACAGAAAAATCATAAATGAGTTTTACATACCACTTTAGCGTGATGTCAACTTAAAGCAGCAATCTGGAGTTTTCTCCTTTTCAGGAAGTGTGTATGAATTTTATCAGAAATTAACAGCACAACACGAGAATCCTAAGCAATGTTTTTTAGCTGTTTTGCCTGGCTAAACGTGTGAAATCATGAATGCGAGGAGTTGCTTTGAGTCGTAATCATGGGAGTAGGGGGAGGGGCTTAAGGTGCAATACGTTTTTCTGCCTCTAGGTGGTGCCGTCTGAGAAAAACTCCAGATTTCTGCTTTCATACACGAGTATTTTCTTGCAATTTTGTTTCTCCAGCTTCTTCAGCTATGCTTTAGCTAGGATGCAAAGCTGAAATAATTCCCAACTGTGTTGATGTTCTGTTTTTTTGGCTAAAAATGTTTTTCTTCACATTTTCAGCTTTTTTACACACAATAAACTTGATATTCTGCCCTTCCTCAAACATTTTCAAACACTCATGACTACTTTTTAAGATTCAAAACTCTAGAACTTTTCCTTTAGATCGCTGTAATGCTGCTGTTTTGTCATTACTTTCAATCCAGGACACCCTGAGGAACCCAACGGTGATGCACTTCATGGACAACAGCTTGACCGAATCGAACCTCACCACCAAAGATGTTCTGAACTTCCTGCACACCGGACCAGAAAATGGGAGAGAGGCGGGAATGCCAAACTTTGACTGGAGGAATATTTTTAACATCACTGACCAGATCATACACATGTTCAACCAATATGGAGAGGTAGAGAGCTTGTCTCTTTTTGCAAGAATAAAAGTATTTTTTTGTAGAGAGTGAAGTGACAAGCAGCCAGACCTGCTCCCTGCAGATACCAGCTAAGCCTTTTGAGACAGATGAAACTACTTAGCACAGTTTTATAGCTTCTGTCCCGTCCATCAGGTTGAAAGGTGGAGAGAACAAGTGTGCTGTCACCTCCTTCCCTCGCCTCCATTGTGAAGCCAGTGATAAAGTAGAGAGTAGGTGGGAATGAGTCACCCTCCTCGCAAGTTCAGCACTGGTTTTAATGTACGAGTCGGCATTGAAAGAGACGCGTATGCTTCGGTGCAAAAGTGGGCAAATCACTCTTTACTTCCTTCACGCCTCCCTCTCTCCTCTCTTGTCCTCGTTAAAAAGGGGGCCAAGGATTCTGGAGAGCCCCATCATCGGAGGAATCTCAATCTCTGTTTTGTCTTAGAGTTCGGCGCCAAGACACTTCAGAGCATTACAAACAAACCCAATCAGTTTAGCCAATTAGGTATAGCCGTCAGCTGGTGTTGGGCCTTGGATAGCTGCTGGAGTTTAGCAGCCAGTCCTCTCACTCCATCGGGGGGGGGGGGAATGTTTCTCACACTCGAGTCCCCGTTAGAACACGTGCATCACTGAGGCTCTTTATTCCTCAGCCCATCTTTATGGTGTGAATGTATGTTCCCATAAAGATGAATGGGAAGTGGTCTCTCGTCTTTCTGCGAGCGCACTCGATGTTTTGTACAGTAATGTGAAAGGAGACATTAGCCACGGTGTGTCTGGAGACGTGGAGAGCTCTGTGAGTGTGTGTGATGGGATATTATGTATGCTGTTTTAAAGTGTGTGGGAAAGGAACATAGTGTGAGAGTTTTGTGAATGCGTTTTGATGCATATGCATGCGTCAAGTTTGTATTGGCCTTCTTAACAACTTTGAGGAAAAACACTTCTGTGAAAAACACACAGAGCTGTATGGAGAGCAGGGTATGGTTTTATTTTTTATTGGGGGCCAGTTCAATATCTTTAATTCGTTGTGGAGAATTGTTCATTGTACAGGCAAGAAACCCAAGGAGAAATCTGGGTAGATGCAAAAACACAAACAGATAAACAAAACACGATAAAGTACAACCGGAAATCTGATATTTTTAATGGTTTATGTTTAAAGTAAATGGTAAATGGTAAATGGTCTGTGTTTGATATAGCGCCTTCTAGAGTCCTGGACCCCCCCAAGGCGTTTTACAACACAATCAGTCATTCACCCATTCACACACTGGTGGGTATGAGCTACAATGTAGCCACAGCTGCCCTGGGGCGCGCTGACAGAGGCGAGGCTGCCGAGCACTGGCACCACCGGTCCCTCCGACTACTACCAGCAGGCATGGGGGGTTAAGTGTCTTGCCCAAGGACACAACGACAGCGACAAACTGAGCGGGGCTTGAACCTGCAACCTTCCGATTACGGGGCGAGTACTTAACTCCTGTGCCACAGTCACCCAGCAAAAGTAACAGCAGTTTCCCACTTCTCTGCCCTACTGATTGAAAGAGGAATTACAACTATTGTAAACAACCCTGATGCAGCCTGTTGTAGCTAGCACTAACAACGAGCTAACACTAACATGAGCCAACTGGTACTAAAATAAACCACAAAGTAAAAAGATCCACACTGTTGGACAAAAATGTTACTAACAAGTCCAGTAACAACAAAGCCAGGTCACCATCAGTCTGTGATTTTGTAGCCTCCTTTAATTCCTTCAAACTAGTGTAGGCCGCACTGATGTTTCCTCTGGTTTTAGTTCTTTACTTTGCCTCCAAAGACATTACTCTCTTACTTTAATTTCCAGGCTCCACCATGATGCCAACAAAAAGGCAAACATTTGTTCTTTTTCTTCTTGTGCTTTTTATTGGCGATCGGTGAACTGAAAATGCTAACCACTAGCATTAAAGCTAACAGCCCTAAAGTAGGTAAAGAGCGCCCCCTAGGACACCTACCACAAAACCATCTATTGTGGTTTTTGGTGAGCGAGGGCTGCCAAAACCGCATAAGGGCTGCAGATTGATGTCAAATATTAAACAAGTTTCTAACCCAACAATCACTGAAGTCAACATTAAAGCTGTAGCTTAAAGTTTAAAAAACTATTTATTGTTGCTTTACTAAAGGCAGGTGTGGTATTAGAAAACAGGAACTGAGAAAATAGGAAGAAAACAAGGTAATCATAAATGTGTTTGTTAAATAAAAAAAGGTTAGAAGTTGCAAAAAACGTTTCTCTAAAGATTTACAGGATCAGTGTTTTTACATATCTTTATTCGATGCTATGTGGAGACTTTTAATTTGATTTTCCAAGACAATTTGTGTTTTTGAAAATTAACTAAATGCATTCTGTATTTTTCAAAGCCTGAAAAAACATTGAATTATTCTTTGTAATTTCCAGATTAATGCCTGGTGGATGCAAAACACGACTGTAAAGAAAAAGATTCATCATAGGGAAAGAGTAGAAACTAATCAAATTTTTAGGAAATACGAACTCCACAAAGTCGATGTTAAAAATGTCGAACGTGGAAAGAATGCTATATACAAAGAAAATATCTTTTTAAATTTAATATGAAGAATTTCATTCAAAAACGGGATTGATCTTTGCAAGACAATATAGCACGATAGCTTAACGGTGAGGCAAGTTTGTGAGTAGGAATTTAATGATCTCCTAGAAGAATGCAGGAAGACAAGGAGGAGGCCTGAAAAGGAGAGCACACAACTCGATTTATCAAACACGGCGGAGGCTGTGAAACTGGGTCACATGTGCTTATTGGTGAGGTGACTGCAGAAAGGAGTAACAGGATAGATTCAGCACAAATGCTGCACAAACAGATCAGATGACGTCGGTTATCTTCCTTGAATTTTAGACTTCAGGCAGTCGTCGACTTCAGGAGATATAAAAGAAACTTGTGCGCAAACAGCTTATGAAATTATTATTGAGCTGATACCAGGAGCAGGCTGTGTGGAAAGCACTGGTTACATCTTATATGATATTTATGAAAACTGCCACAAACAACAACGGAAAATGTTTGACGCTGGTCTGTTTTATTGCTTTATCTGAAATCCATTGCTAGAAATGACAGCAGCAGATAATTTACCACCATATTCCATCATTTGTAGAGGATCGGCACTGCTAAGGTGGTGTACAAAAACACGAAGCACAAGTCATATGAGATACATTTTTTGCCATCTAAACTAAAACCTAACACAACAACCCATTTGGAAGCCACCTCTCCAAATCCATCGCTTTCTAATGTCCGTGTGTGTCTGCAGTGCGTTAGTCTGGATAAGTTTGTGGCCTACACAGATGAACCCCAGATGATCCATCAGGCCTTGCACCTGCTGGAGGAGAACAAGTTTTGGACCGGTCTGGTCTTTATGGACATGCACCCCTGGACGACAAGTGTCCCCCCGCATGTCAAGTACAAGATCAGGATGGACATAGACGCAGTGGAGCGGACCAACAAGATCAAGGACAGGTCAGTAAGAACCTGTGGGTCAGGTTGGGCTAGGTACAGGTACAAGGGGGAGGTATGGTGCAAAAGTCCATTTATTTCAGAGATTCAACTTACCTTTCCACTGGATGTGTGAGCAGCGCTTACCTGTAAGTTCCTGTCCAATCGGGAGTGTTTCAGACGCCAAACGTCAGCGAAAGTGTTCTAAGGTCTAAATGAGGTCACAAAATCACAGGAGAGTTCCAGCACTACTCTAGATTTTGGCAGCATGTATTCAAAAATGTCTGTTTACTTCAACCATGGAGGTTTCAAAGGAAATTGAGCACTTTGTTCACCAGTTAGGCAATTGAAAATTTACATGTGGATTTCATTTTGAAACTTTCTGGAAACTTTCTGGACGTCTGGGGCGTTTCTAAAACAACCCACCCACTACAGCGGCGGCTAATCGCTGTGTACGTTTCGCAGATGTTACGCGATGCTTACGCGTCTGGTGGAAAGGCCCGATTAGACTGAATGACCATTGACAGCCGAGTTGGAGTGTGACACCCTGACTCTAGAATATCAAACCTTTTTGATTAATGTAATTGTCTGATATTATGAATGTGGGGTTTTCATCAGCTGTATGCCATAATCATCACAATTATAACTAATGAAGGCTTGAATTATCTGGCTTTGCATGGACTCAGTCCATCCCATACGTAAGTTTCACCTTTTAAGTTCAATTACTGACAAACATGGACTTTTGCACCATGTTCATATTTTTCCCAGTTTCACCTTTTACTTAAGTAAAATAAGTTCTTTGAAATTCAAAATAATCACCTGTTAATTAGCCTTTTCTAATGAACAGCAATACATACGTTTAGTTAAAAGCCAAACAGAGATGCTTTGTACTGCAGCGTGTCTCTTAGGCTGCCTTTTGATTTATTTGCCCCAACATAGAAAATCCTAATACCCAACCCTCCAAAGCAGTGGTGAAATCATTAACTCTGCAAAGACTTAGGGTATAAAATAGAAGCAGTGTGCTTGTATTTTTTGATTTATTCAAACACTGGATTAAGGCTGGGTGTAACCACCAACATTTAAAGTACCAAGCAACCCCTGCAGCCACATTTATGAAGCAATTTCTATTTACTCGTCACTTTCTTTATAGGAGGGAAGTCTTCCCCATGCAGCAGCCTTCTAAACGTTACTGGTGGTTTTACATTAACTCATTATTTGCCCTTTAATCCTCCTGTGTAAACCACTTGTATGATTTTCTTCTTCTTTGACATCTAATTTCTGAGCAGACGGTATGTCAATAGTCCCTAGTGTGCACGGGCGCTTTTAGCTGTTTACAACAGGCCGAACGGCTGTAATGGAGCCAGTGGGAGTCCTGCCTCTATACAATTGAATAATCAGATTGTTACAGAGCTCTAAGTCAGACTTATCCGCTTAAGAAGAGGCTGCGTTCATGTGGTTTATGTGGCATGAGTGGATTCAGAGTATTTTATCTTTCCTGAAATTTGAATGAAGCCTTTGGTTGGGATAATTTCATACAACAATGAGCAAACACTGGTCAACTAGGCTGAAAAAACATTTTTAACAATGAATTCTGTTTAAAATCAGTCACTGAGTTTTCCGTGCAGGCTGAACATGAAAATAGTCTCCTACACCTTTCTCCTGCATTAACTATGATAGAAAATAGACGGTGAAACTCCAGGATTTGAAAAGCACAGGACACACCGCTGTAAATAGCAAATTTGGATGACAAATTAGCAAAACATTTTTTCACGCTTATTAATGTTCTAACATAGTATAGCTATGATGTGGGGGACTAAATATAAAATTAACAAAGGCTTTATCTCGCATCTGTCTAAAAACCTCCACCAATAACACATTTTGGACAGTAAGCAACCATTAGACCATCCGGTTGTCGGTCTCGCCAAACCGCCACACTTCCGCACCTCCCTGGGTCCTCCATTCATTACTCACTCGCGTAGTTAGCAACAGAACACCACTGGTGTGAGAGGCTCTCTGCTCAGTAATATCAGAGATGGAGAAACAGCCGGCTGCTACCACTTCACACTTCAACTTTAGGTCGAACTACCCCCCCCCCCCCCCCCCCCCCCCCAAAAAAAAACAGTTTGAAGTCACGGACAACAAACAATGCTTGGACCTAGAAAACAGCAACGGGTATTTAGCCCTCTGTTGTTGCCACGTGCAATGCAGGTTTCCAGTTCTGGAAGATGCAGATCCAGGGACGATACCCCGGGGGAGTGTTCTGTGACTGTTTGCGTTGAAAATCTAGCTTGTTTCGCCGATTCGCCATAACAGCTTTAACTTTCATGGACTCATGTATCTTGACTCACGACGTCTAGACTAGTAGAAGCTAACCATTGGCATTAGCAACTCTACAACATGGCATAACTCCCCCATGCTTGTGCAATTTGTGGAGATAAAACATCAAAGTTACAGAGTAATTCGAGTCAGTGGTAGAGCTGCACTGCTGTTAGCCAATCAGAGGCCAGATGTCTAAATATCAGGAAATAAGACTCCAAATCCTGCCGTCTGAAGCTCATCTCTGATCTGCCTCACTTCTAGTTCCTGAAACAGGAGCACTGGATCTTTTTCCCCGAGTGTGACTTACGAGTAATTCAGTCCTGCTAGAGACCACTGCAAATGTATTAAGCCTATGAGCAAAGTTGACCTTTAAATGTTTGTTTGGCGTCTGATCTCTAAAAAATGTCCTTGTTCAGGTACTGGGATCCTGGTCCCAGAGCGGACCCCATGGAGGACCAGAGGTACATCTGGGGTGGCTTTGCTTACGTGCAGGACATGATTGAACAAGGGATTATCAAGCTTCACACCGGCAACGATCGGCCACTTGGAGTCTACATCCAACAGATGCCGTATCCTTGCTACGTAGACGACCTGTGAGTTGACCTGTGGTTTGAAACATCAGAGTTCCAACAAGTTTTCACTTTTATTGTAAACAAAACATTTTCTGTAGCGTGAACTGCAGGTGGGTTATTTCTCTCACCTGATGGTAAACAAGAGAGAGGAGGTTTTTCTACATTCTTTATGCCATGACGTATTGTTTCAAGCTGTCAGCCTGCCGATGAGTTTTTTCTTCGTATAATATTGTCGGTGCAGTGGTTCTTTGGTTTTAAGTTTCAAACAGCCAGATAAAGTTACCGATCTTTTTGGTGTGCAGGTTTAAAATGACTTTCAAGAGTTTTGACACCATCTGATTTTGACTCTAAGTTAATTCAGTATGACTAAAAACAGCCTTGGCTTTAGTAAACCTCACAAAACAATCTACACCTATATCTAACTAATGTAATAAACACATGTTAATAAATGGTGATGAATCCTAAATTATGGAAAATAAAACCAAATATAAAGCAAATATTATTTCTGAATTAATGTTTTGAAAAAAACAAAGTGCAACATTCAGGAACCTTGCCGGATGAGTCATTTTATTGTTACCTAACCAAGAACAATGTTCCGTGGAAAAATGTAGACGAATAAATGAAGCCACCCGTCATCGTCTGTGATCGACTAGATCAATTTGTATTTATTTTTTTTACACAACAAAATACTCATTACACCTAATTAGTAAAGGTTCAACCTTTTGCTGCTAAAATAGGTTTAAAAAGCTGTTCTCTTTAAACAACCCTTTATGTAGTGTGTCTTTATACATCCAAGGAGCCTTGTCCAGTCAGAATTGACAAAACTCCTCGGATGAGAAGCGAAACATCTTCATGAAACCGAAGAAGTCCAGTTGCCTTCAGTCGAACCCCTTTGGATTCCCATGACCTGGATGACCGAGAACCTTCTGTACACGCTACATGTTGGACATTTGTGCTAATAGACCATGTCGCAAGAATGATCTCACGTTTCTCTCTACAGCTTCATGATCACGCTGAACCGCTGCTTCCCCATGTTCATGGTGCTGGCCTGGATCTACTCGGTCTCCATGACTGTGAAGAGCATTGTGCTTGAGAAGGAGCTGCGCCTTAAAGAGACCCTCAAAGCCATGGGGGTCGACAGCGGGGTCATTTGGTACACGTGGTTCATCGACAGCTTTGTGATGATGACTGCGAGCACGGCACTGCTGACCACCATCATCATGGTGAGAAAGTAATTCAAGATAAAGAAAATAGAGTTGGAAGTTAAAGCTGGAATTTGGAGGGAGCAATAGCTCCATCTTGTGGAGGACTGTTAAAAATTCTCTTCCTTCCAAGGAAGTGTGAACCAATATTCCAGAGTGCAAATGAAGCCCATCCTCTGTGCGTGTGCTCTTCTCTCAGGGAGGGAAGGTGCTGAATTACAGTGACCCGATCGTCGTCTTCTTCTTCCTGCTGGTTTTCACCGTGGCAACCATCATGCAGTGTCTCCTGATGAGCGTTTTCTTCAACAAGGCCAACCTGGCAGCTGCCTGCAGCGGCATCATCTACTTCACCCTCTATCTGCCTCACATCCTCTGCTTTGCCTGGCAGGACCGCATCACCACCAACATGAAACTGGCTGCAGTACGTCGGCTTTTGCTTACACGTTCAACTAAATCAGTAAACTCTGCAAGCGCAGACGGTATTTTGTCCCTTCTCTGTCTTTAAGGGAAAATGCATGTCAAATATGCTTTGCTTTCCTAGAGCTTGCTATCTCCAGTGGCCTTCGGCTTCGGGACCGAGTACCTGTCTCGGTATGAAGAGCAGGGCTTGGGTTTGCAGTGGAACAACATCCAAACGAGCCCGTTAGAAAAAGACTCTTACTCCTTCCTCACATCCATCCTCATGATGCTGTTGGATGCTGTCCTCTACGCCGTCCTGGCCTGGTACCTGGACAACGTGTTCCCAGGTTGGGCCGCTAAAGTGTTGAATGCTAATAATTGGATGTATTTTATGTTATTATTTTCACCACACCATATTTCCACACTACAGGACAGTACGGCATTGGTCGGCCGTTCTACTTCCCACTCCAGCCTTCATACTGGCAGAGGCCAAAACCCTCACACACAGAGATGGTTGATCAAGGTTAGCTAGCTGATGAGCACTTTTTATGACCTCTTGATTCTTTTAGTTTAATATGCAGTTAGGCTAGACATGTAAAATCACACTTTTAGTTGAAAAAAAATCTAATGACTTTAGGGATGAATTTTGAGACTTTTCTTATAAGATTGCAGTAATTTTCTCATTTAGATCCCAACAGACCCGATCTAGGAAACCAGGAGTTGGATGCTGGGAGCAGAACGACGCCAGAGACGTACACCTGCAACGGCTCAGCCAGCAAGAAAACCTGCAAGCACCAAAGCAAGAGGGATCAGCTGGAGAGACAGAAGGAGAACCTGAAGCTACTCGAGGAGAATCCCAACCTAGAGGAGGAGGAGGACACTGGGAAGGAAGGTCAGGATCCAGCTCAGTGGCCTAGTGGTAGAGTGTCCACCCTGAGAGTGGAAGATCAGAGTTCGATTCCTGGTCGGGTCAGACCAAAGACTTTGAAAAAATGGGACCCAAATGCCTCCCTGCTTGGCACTCAGCATTAAGGGGTTGGATTGGGGGTTAAACCACTAAATAGTTCCCGAGTGTGGCTGTGTCTGCAGCTCACCGCTCCCCCAGGGGATGGGTCAAATGCGGAGAACAAATTTCGCACACACATCAGTGTGTGTGTGGCAACTAATGGGACTTTGACTTTACCTTTAACTTTATGCATGTAGCAGAAATCAGACTGCATGGAAGGAACACTCTGGTGACATCTGCTGGGCAAGACGTGAAATGCAGAGGAGCAATTAAGATTTTTTTGAATGGGAACAAATGGATCGATATCTGATTAAAAGGTTATTCCTCACAATATTTTCTGCCAAAAATAATCGAATCTAAAATAAAAATGGGAATATGGTCACTTTAAACATCTCTCACTCCTTACCTCTAAAAGCTAGATACAGTCAATGCTCGTAATTTTATATTTTATCCAAACTAAAGGCTGAAACTTTTAAATATAGCAAGTCAGTACAGCAGCTCGAATATTCAGACACAGCTGACCACTTCTAATAAAATTCATGAACACGCCCACTCATTTATTCTAATAAAGTGTTTGTTTAGGGCTCTGCTGGTGGAATAACATACCTGAGAGGAAAGATGAGTATGAATCAGGAACTGGAGGACTGCATTTTTCTCTGTGATGCACAATCCCTAGAGCTTGACAGTTTTTTAATATATTAATGCTTGTTTTGCCATTAAAACAAAATTTTTGCAACAAAATCTGAGTCCTAACACAGACCGGTGTATCTTTTAGTGCTTTATTTTATGTCTTTGCATGCATGAGTCCGGTGCAACACACCTTCTCCCCTGCAGGGCTGATTTTTCAAATCTTTGCCATGTTTGCAAGTTGGCTGTGTGTGTGTGTGTGTGTGTGTGTGTGTGTGTGTGTGTGTGTGTGTGTGTGTGTGTGTGTGTGTGTGTGTGTTGCATGGGAACATTGCACCAAAACCTTTTGTAAAAACAGGTAAAGCTTCAATGCTCTCCTGAGAGATTAATGCTGTAGTTTCAATCAGCAGCAATCAAGACATCAAACTGGAGCTGCCATCAAGGTCGAACCAAAACGGCAGTTTCTCAAAAGAAATGAGATTTTAAGTGTTTGGAACATGTGATTTATTACAGAAGAATCTGCTAAAATAAATGTGGAGATAATTGGGCATAACTTGTCATTGCCAGGTCAGTTATTCTTCGAGTCAGACCCGATGGATCTGGTTTTGGGGGTGCAGATTCAGGATCTAGTGAAGGTGTACGATGGATGCTCTCGTCCAGCTGTCAACTGCCTTAACATCAATTTCTACGAGGGACAGATCACATCCTTCTTAGGGCATAACGGTGCAGGGAAGACCACCACACTGTGAGTAGATCTACAATATGATAGATCTGGGATTATTTACGTTATTAAGGATTTGTCATTGCTGGTGCAATGTTTGCATCTTCTTGCGTTTTAGGACCTCGCTGCCACCACAAAGTGACAAAGTTATACTGAAAATCAACATTTTCTTCATTTCAGGTGCAGACTGACTCAGGTGTGATTCTCGTTTTTTCAGGTCTATTCTGACGGGTCTTTATCCTCCCACTTCTGGCACCGCCTACATCAACAGGAGAGACATTAAAACAGACATAGACATCATCCGCACTTCTATGGGGATGTGTCCTCAGTACAACATTCTCTTCAACCAGTAAGAATAATAAAAAAAATACCAAATTCTGTTGAATAAACGTACATTTCTGCTTGTTTTCTTCCCTAACTTCTCCATTTTCCTCACCATCATGGTGCATCAGCCTCACCGTGGAGGAACACATCCTGTTCTACTCGCTGCTGAAGGGTCGGAGCCGAGAGGTGGCGGAGATGGAGGTGGAGAACATGCTGTTAGACCTCGGACTGCCTCACAAGAGGAACGATGAGGCTCAGAGCCTCTCAGGTCAGTTACTTGTTTCCGTCAGTGAAAGAGGATGTTCAAGGTAATTTAACTGGGTCCCTCTTAAACACGCTTCTCACGCCCATCACAGGTGGCATGCAGAGGAAACTGTCGGTTGCCATGGCGTTTGTTGGAGGGTCAAAGGTCGTGATTCTGGACGAGCCAACCTCAGGAGTGGATCCTTATTCCAGAAGATCCATTTGGGACCTCCTGCTGAAATACAGAACTGGTAAAAATATCTCCACAGGAAGTAAACTGCCTCGTTACACAGCAACGTCTGAGGAGTGAAACTAAATATTTAGCAGCTCTTCTGGGATCTGGAATTAAATTGTCAAGAGATCAAATAGAAAAATTAAATGAGAAGAAAGTTGTAGAAATGAATGACACCTGCCCTTTTTAATGGTTTGTTTTAACCACTTTATTCACTTTAATGAGAGCATTGTTCTCCCAAACAAACACATGAACCATTTGCTCCTTACGCAGGTCGCACAGTCATCTTGTCCACGCATCACATGGACGAGGCCGACCTGCTGAGCGACCGCATCGCCATCATCTCCAAAGGACAGCTGTACTGCTGCGGGTCGCCGCTCTTCCTCAAAAACTGCTTCGGTGTCGGGTTCTACCTGACGCTGGTGCGCCGCATCAAGGACACGAGGAGGAGAGAGGTGAGCAGGGTCTATCGACTGATTTGACTCTGATCATGGATGCCCGTTCTTAATAAAGAGGTGCAGCCTCTGTTAGAGTGTTTTTATGAATGACTTTGTAAATAATTTCTCTCTGTGTCAGAATGAGTGCGACTGTGCCTCAGACTGCTCCTGTTCCTGCTCCATCTGCACCAGATACAAAGATCAGTCCCAGAATCAGCTTCACCAGCTGGACAGAGTTCTAGACGGTAACTTTTCTTTAAAGGTTTTACATCATGCTCGTTTACCCCTTTTAGAGCACAGACAGGCTCAGATATACTAGAAAACTACCGTTGACATTGTGAAGATGTAATTTGTTCTCAAATACAAGTTATTTTCTTGAGACATTTTACCAACTTTAAAATAGGATGCTTGGATTCAATGAAATCCCACCCAATTCATGATGTAGATCTAGATCTCACAGCTGGAGAGTGGGCGTGAGTGTTTACAGGACTGGGGAGGAGCGTGCAGGTTAGGTACTTCCTCAGTGTGGAGGGGCGGGGCAGGATGATGCAATCATGCCCCATCCAGGCGTTTGCAGCAGCTTAAAGAAGCGTGAAGCCAAGAAAACACTTTGGGGTTATTTTACATTAGGAAACTATATGATATGTGTAAAAAAAAGTATATTTTGTATGTTGCTTTAACTGAACGTCCCAAAGCAACTGTTCCTGCAAAACGCATGTTTAGCATTGTGGTAAAATTTTTTATTTGTATTAATTTGTAATTTATTTTGGTAAAAGTGGACATTTAAGTGCAAGGCAGCCATCAGGGGAGTTATGCTTATGTTGAAAACAGAACTGTTGCTCAGTAAAGCTTATTTTTTATTAAAGCTTACAGGAAAATATTTTCTTAAATGATTTGGAGAAAAAGCAACAAATGACAAATGTTTTAGTTTTTTTCTCTCTGAATTAAAAAATGTAATATCAGTTATTAGCATTTTGATAATTTAAATAAAAAACATTAATAACTTATGTAGTAAATACTGAGAACCCGTTTTTCTGGAGATAAAAAAAATGAGTTCAAGTTTATTCTTTAAAAGTAAAGATATGTGGCGTCAGAGAAACTGAGACATAGAAAATAATTACTGAAGATTTTTGAACACTGGATATCAGTGTTCAAAACAAACAAACAAACAAAACTTAACAAAACAAAAAACAAATGAAAAGGAAATCAGAACTTGAGTTTATCCCATTCAGCACTGATGTAGAAGTGGAAACAACAAACCTCTGAGATCTGGTCTCTTGGTGAAAACCAAAAAAAAAAAAAAAGAGTTGTATCCAGCTATCCATTTTTGGCCACTTATACGGAGTAGGGTCGTGGGTGTAACAGCCTAAGCAGGGAGGCTCAGACTTCCGTCTCCCCAGCCACTTGGGCCAGCTCTTGCGGGGGAATACCAAGACGTTCCCTGGCCAGCTGAGAGACATAGTCCCTCCAGCGTGTCCTGGGTCTTCCTTTAGGTCTTCTCCCAGTTGGACGTGCCCAGAAAACCTCACCAGAGAAGTGTCCAGGAGGCATCCTGACCAGATGCCTGAGCCACCTCAACTGGCTCCTCTCGATGTGGAATAGCAGCAGGTCTACTCTGAGCCCCTCCCAGGTGACCGAGCTTCTTACCCTATCCTTAAGGGATAGGGACAGCCACCCTGCAGAGAAAACTCATTTTGGCTGCTTGTATCTGCGACCTCATTCTTTTGATCGCTACCTAAAACTCGTGACCACCGAGGCTTGGAGCGTATCGACCGGTTAATCAAGAGCTTCGCCTTTTCGCATCGGCTCTCCCTTAAAGACAAAAATTCCAGTTTTACCACATAATTAGTTGCCAAGGTGAATACTTCAGACTCTAACTCAGGCCCCTGCAGATATTTTCTTTGGTTTTCAAGCTTCAGCCTTTTCCACACAGCACATTTCTATTCTGCGACAAACAATTAAAACACCAGGATGAATTTTTCCAGACAAACTCAACGCAGACTAAACTAACTGTGTTGCGTTCCTTTTATCACCAATGAATCAGAGCTGTGAAACAAACTAAAACAGAAGCAGCTGATGTTGACCAATGAGCTTGCTCGGCCTGGTCTGCTTGAGGTCACATCCACGCATCACCACAAAATTAACATTTGCAATTCAGCACATGAATAATACTGTTTCATTACTCCTTTTAATGTTCTTATGTCAGGAAAACATTGCACCTAAATGCATAACTCCATTTACGCCCCCAGGGGATGTAGAGAACATCACCAGTCTGATCCATCACCACGTCCCTGAGGCAAAGCTGATCGAGACAATCGGACAGGAGTTGACCTATTTGCTCCCGAATAAGGGTTTCAAACATCGAGCTTATGCGAGTCTGTTTAGGGAGCTGGAGGAGACGCTCGCCGATATGGGCCTGAGCAGCTTCGGCATCTCAGATACGTCGTTGGAGGAGGTAGGAGCATCATCGATGGAGAATGGATAAGAAAACAGACTGCTAGTTTCTTTAGACTTTTTCCTCAGTCGTTTGCAGAATTATGTCTGAGCAGCCGATGCACGAAAGGTTTTTAAAGTTTTAGGAAGATGTTTTCCTCTTTCCAGATCTTCTTAAAGGTCACAGCAGATGGAGAAGCAGCAAATAATTCCACCACCGCTGGTAAATGCCACCTCTGATATTCTACTTGGCCTTTTCCTGGAATCAAATTCTGGACCAATTCCTCTCCCTTTCTATCGTGTTAATCCTCCCGCCTCTCACCTGTATTCGCTGCGCCGTCACCATCACGGTGCATGGCGTAGGTGAAATACACACCGAGGCTACGCAGCTGCTCTAGACTGTGCTGTGTTTGTAACCCTGTAGTTTGTGTGTTTTCTCACCTCCTCTAGAGCAGTGGATGTTACAGGAGAGGAAAAATGGCAGCAGAGTTGGTGTAGGAGGAGATGAAGGTCAGAGAATGAACTGGACGGATAAACAAAATGGTCTGATCAATTTAGTATTTTCTGCCTTCTTACTGTGTGGTTTATCTGACAAACGATGTATGAAACATACATTCAAACCTCATTTACACCCAGTTCTGTTGTGGAGGGTTCAGTTTGTCCGTTAAACATGAACGAAGCAGCTTTTCTTTTTCTGCTGCTTGCACGCTCTTGTACTTGTGTGTGAAGACACATAATCCTCACACACGTACTCAAATGCAACTTTTGGGGTTTTGCCTTAAAGACAAACTTTGCAACTTTTTTAATATTTTTAAATCATTTTCTTGAGCCAGTATGTGCTAAAATGACCCTTTACATGTTTATTGAAATGTCACTCAGACCCCCACCGCCCCCTGTAGCCAGAATACGGTATTTGCAACTTCAGAGTGCTGATAAAAATAAGATAAAAATTCAACTGACATACCTGGGGCTGTAGTCTGCTTCCAGCACGCTTCCTGCACGTCTTAGATCATGAACACAGCTTATTTGTTGATTAATCACACTTGTAGACACTAATGAAGGCTGAGGAGACATTTCAGCTTTCAGCTTAAGGCGTTAAAAAGACGAATGAACAGCGAGGAGATAAGTTTTGCTTTTGATTCTACTAGACGGACACTAGGGGGTGCTAAAAGCAAGCCAAAACTGCCTAGTCTTCCTTTAAAGTGTGAAATTCCAGCTAATCTGTGGTGCTTTAATGATGTTTTCCTGTGTTCGGTAGAACAAAACGGTCTAAACCACACATCCGACAGCAGTGCAGGAAAAGCCTCCAGACAGGTGAAAGGTACAATGCTGACCCTGAAGCAGTTCCACGCTTTGCTGGTGAAACGATTGCACCACGCCTCGAGAAGCCAGAAGGACTTCCTGGCACAGGTGCTGGATGGTGACAGAGAGAAGATATTTTAATTTATTTTTCCTATATTTCTTGAACATTGTGATTATGTGGTTTCAGATTGTCCTTCCTGCAAGTTTTGTCTTCATATCTCTGATCTTCACCCTGATTGTCCCTCCCTTTGGCGAATATCCCAGTCTGACTCTGACCCCCTGGATGTACGGACAACAGTTCATCTTCTTCAGGTCAGACTGACACGAACACAGATTTTAATGTCAACTATTTAAAGAAATAGGTCAAATATTTGCAAGTGTACTTCTGTGGAGATGTTATGAATTATTATCATCTTATGATTGGTGTCAGAACAACCTAAGTTTGGAAAGATAAAGATTCAGTATGAGCTAAGTCTAAAAGAGTTTCTGCTGTTAGTTTCAGCTAATACAAATGTATGTGGTTATTTGCTGGAAAAACAGGCTATAATTTCATAAATATTTAATTAGAACAACAACAAAATATCAAATGCACGGCAATGTCATGAATAAAAACAAGAATTTGCATGAACCAGCTATGAAATGTCTAAGACTGAACATGTGTTAATCCAGTTTGCAGCTGGCCTCATTACACCACACAAACCAATACAATATAAGCTAACACCAATACACACCAGCACCGCTCCTACCTCTACAGTGCAAACCGGGGCTGTGCTGATGTTTTGGAGGGCCACAAAGAAGGTCCCTGCGGGCCGGACCTGGCCCGCGGGCCACCTGTTGAGCACCGCTAGTATAAACCAAATGTTCCCACAGAAAGGGATTTCAAGTGCTCTAAACTTTATCACTCTAAGTTCACAAAGACGTTATACTAATCACACGTGAGGTGTTTAAATTTTCATTCTATTGTTAATTATTTTTACTACCTTTAGCAATGAGCGTCCACTTGATCCCAGAATGAAACATTTTGCCGACCGGCTGTTGAACTTTCCGGGTCTGGGAACACGGTGCATGCAAGGAGAACCGCTAGGGTGAGTATTGGGATGAGACATGAGCTAAAACTACTCTACAGGTCCAGGTGTGTCCATAAAAACTTTAATATGTAATGGATACATAGGTTTACATGAATTATGTTCAATAAGAAATGTTTATTTTGTTTATCTACTGTACATCCTAAATGATTTCTGCTTTCTCCTTAACCTCCAGGATGTCCTGCAACACCAGCGTCTCTGAGTGGGAGCAGCCTGAAGTGCCCTCAGTGGTCCTGGACACTTTCCAGAGTCCTGAATGGAACGAGAGAAACCCATCACCTTCCTGCCAGTGCAGCACCAGTGAGAAGCTCACCATGATGCCCATCTGTCCCGCCGGCGCCGGGGGCCTACCCCCTCGGCAGCGGGTGGAGGCAACAGGGGACATCATGCTGGATCTGACAGACCGGAACATCTCTGACTATCTGGTCAAAACCTACGCCAGTCTCATCAGAACCAGGTGGGCTCGGATTCAGGGTTCAAAGATTCATCACCCTTTTGGGGGAGCCAAGCTCCCCCTAGCTCCCCGGTATTTCTAATCCTGCTTGGAAATGGTTTACATTAAATTTCTAAGATTAGGATATTGACAGGAGAAGCACTAAAAAACTAAATAAAATAGATAATAACTTCATGTGTTAATGATATTTGCTCTTAATTACTCTTCTTTTGCAGTCTGAAGAGTAAATACTGGGTGAATGAACAAAGGTAATCATTTTATTCCTGCTACTCTCAGTCTGCAACTGGAACCATTAGTTTTGGACAATCTTGCAGAAAATCTAACTTTTTCCCCATCAGATACGGCGGTCTCTCCGTAGGTGGACAGCTTCCCATCCTGGACGTGAACCCTAAAGACATCCAGAACGTTTTCCACCAACTGGGGCAAATGCTCAACATAACTGGGGTAAATGCTGAAGGAGCTCACTACGGACTCTCCGGTGGATCCTGTCAGTTCCTACTAAATCCCCTCTGTTCATAGGGTCACTACTGCAGACTCACACTGAGGGAGTTTGGTACCTTCTTACACTACATGGAGAGTGAGTTTAATGTTAAGGTGAGATTTCAAGGGTCACATCTGACGAGGGTCTTTTTGCAACCCATGAATCAGCTTTCAGAGGCATTTATTGTAACTCTGCTCTCCACCAGGTGTGGTACAATAACAAAGGCTGGCACGCCATGGTGTCATTCATGAATGTGGCTAACAATGCCATACTGAGAGCCTCCCTTCCTCGGTTTGTCAAACCCGAGGAGTTTGGCATCACCGCCATCAACCACCCTCTGAATCTGACCAAGGAGCAGCTCTCTGAAGTCACTGTGTGAGTAACGGTGCAACTGTTCATTTTTTTGTAGGATTAGAGGGTTTAGATTGTTTATCGCTGATGTAGAAATGAACAAATCAACTAAAAAATGTTTAGTTTTGCTGCAGTTTAACACTTTTATTAAGCACTTTAGAACAATTTGATGCTAACAGATAGCATTCTACAAGCGCAAACTTGAACGATTTGGTGTAGTTTATGTTTCAGGTCTTTTCCTTTTTTGTTGAATTTCAACTGGATTTAAATAAAGTTGGATTGAAAAACCAAGCTGCATTTTTAGTTTTTTAAAATAAAATGATCCAAAGCAGAGTTTATGTGTCTTTCTGCAGACTGGCCACATCTGTGGATGCTGTGGTCGCCATCTGTGTTATTTTCGCCATGTCCTTCATCCCGGCCAGCTTCGTCCTCTACCTCATTCAGGAGCGGGTGACCAAAGCCAAACACCTGCAGTTTGTCAGCGGGGTCAGTCCGCTGGTTTACTGGGTGGCCAACTTCTTCTGGGACATGGTGAGTCACCATTTGGAATGCACTTTTTTAACTGAACTTGACTCATTCAAGATGTTTAATTATATGTTGGAAGGGGAGCTTAAGCTAGAAAACGCCTTTATGAATTCATTTCCTCCACAGATCAACTACTCTCTCAGCACCGCCATGGTGGTCGGCATTTTTATGGCTTTTGATAAAAAATGTTACACATCCCAAACAAACCTGCCAGCTTTAATCGCTCTGCTGCTTCTTTACGGGTGAGCTGCTGCTTTTAGAAACTCGATTTAGTTTCTGACAGAAAAAATAAAAAATTCAAAAGCTTAAGAGATTAGGTACAAATTGTACCTTGATGTTTCTGTTTTAATTTTTACAAGCAAAGAATATAAAGAGCAGAAGATCCATTGATGCCATACAATACCTAAACAGGGATTTAGATAGGAATTCTGGAAGTTTTTATCCTTTCCCCCTACAGGTGGTCGGTGACACCCATGATGTACCCGATGTCCTACTTGTTCAGTGTTCCGAGCACAGCGTACGTGTCCCTGTCCTGCATCAACCTCTTCATCGGCATCAACAGCAGCGCCATCACTTTCATCCTGGAGCTATTTGAAAACAATCGAGTAAGTTTATAAAAGAAACTGTTACATTCTTGCATCAAATAGAGCTCAAATGGACGTGAGACAAAGAAAATCTGAAACCAAAAGTGCTGAATGTTCCTAAATCTCTTGAATGACGGTGAAAGAACAACCTTTACATTGCATTGTCACGGTTCGATACTGCTTTTCTCTACACTTTAAACATGTGTTGGTGAAAGTCAGAAATAACACCTCAACCAAATATTTAAGTGGGTGAATAAAAAGAAAAGATAAGGACACAATTAAAAGTGAAGAGCAAAAATGTAAAACTTAACCTGAAAAGCACCCCAGACATCAAAAATTAAATTTATTTAGCAGAAAATTATGTTTTCTTTGCAAGTAATTCACTTTGGTGTCATATTTTGCCTTTTGAGAAGGAACCTTTCATATTTCACATGTAAAATGAATGATTTTGTCCCTATTCGTCCCAATTTTGTGCATGCATCTGCTTTATCTTATCAACCCCCTGTGAATTGCAGCAAATGGCTGCTCATGTTGGAGGCTTCTTCCTGTTAAAGGAGAGTTTTCCTCTCCATTGTCGCTACATGCTCACTTATTAAGAGGATTGCTGTAAAGACAATGACAACAAATGTGTTGCCAGTGCGTCACACGGCAACATGACACACAGGACACAAATCAACACACACACACTTAAGGACAATTTAGAGAGACTGATCAACCTGACAGTCATATGTTTGGACTGTGGGAGGAAGCCGGAATACCTAGAGAGAACACATGCATGCCATGGAGGGCACGCAAACTCCATGCAGAGACCCCAGGCCAGGATGCAAACCCAGGACCTTCTTGCTGCAAGGCAACAGTGCGCAGCCCGATTAGATCATCCAAAGAGTTAAAATGTCAAATAATGCACATTGGATGGTTTTTGGCAAAAATGGCCAGTTTCAGGGTCAAATCTGGGTTTTCTATGAGGGGATTTTAATCTAGAGAGTAGAAATAATAGTTACATGAATTAAAGCTAGTGGACCAGGGTCCTGAAGCAGCAAAGCAGCCCCGACCATCACACGACCTCCACCCTGTGTGACTGTTGGTTTGATGCTTTTCTTGTCAATCTACAGAATATTTTCCAAAAAGTCTATGATTTTCTTAATGTTTTTGATAAATATGCATTTAAAAATTAAATAATAAAGAGGTAAAAAACAACTATAAATTGGTTTAAATGCTAGTCGTTGTCTTCTGGAAGGACCAGAGTGCAGATGTGTGTCGTAACATGCAATAAACAGCATAACGTCAAAATTTACAAAATATGGATTAAATAAATTTGTCATGATTTGGGGGTTGTAGCCAGACCCAAAATGCAGGTAATCCAGGAGACAGCCCGGTAGGTTAAAACCAAAAGCTTTATTATAAGGTTGTGGAGGATGAGGATGAGGATGAGGATGAGGATGAGGATGAGGATGAGGATCAGGATCAGGATCGAATGCAGATGATACACTTACCGGGTTTAAATACTGCTGAGGAGGTGAGTGAAGACAGGGAACAGGTGTGATGATTACTGATACAATGATCCACAGGTGTGACTGGTTAACAAGGAAACACAAAGACAAGAGAACAGAACTAAGAGAAATGAAGTCAAAACTAAAACACAAGAAGGCTGTACAACACCAGATAAGATAAGAGACTATAAAATGTTGAAAGGATACACGAGGAGCAGAACTGAACTAGACTGAACACACTGGAAGGGACAGAGAGGACAAGGACACCTGGGGGGAGAAATATGGAATAAACTGGGGAGAACACAGGACATGACAAAAGTTACATTATGAGTAGAGAATTAGGACTAGATGAGTAGAGTAGAGTATTGTGTCTTTAAGCTAAGCAAGATGAATGGAATACAGTGATATTCTTCTTCCCACTGTGACAGAGTCAACACCATCTGTGCGGAGTTGGACTTGTTGCACCATAATTCAGAAGTTAAACACAAACAGCTAGAAAACAAAACCATAAATGCTACAAAAATGGACAGAGTATGTAGGACAAAGAGAAAAAATAGCTACCACATTTTCCTGTCAAGAACAACAAACATGAAACAGGAGCTGGAGAAAAGGACACAGATGCCGTTTTCATTGTGACCTGTTAAGTGGAAAAATGGAGATGTTCTGAACCAGATGGTTCTCTCCACTGAACATCTGTGCTCCATTTCTTCCACAGCGGATGAGTCATGAGTGAAGCTCAGAAGGTGGATTAGGCCATATTTTCTTGTTCTAATATGATCTCAGAACCTTAATGAGTTAGATTTTTCTAACCAAGCGTCGTTAAATAAAAATGCTAAATTAAAAAAAGTTATTTTTACTAAATTCACTCATTCAGGGCATCATCCAGCAGATATATCTCAGATCAAGTGTGTTTTTTATTATTATTATTATGCATTAGATGGTGTTTTTAACTAAATTTTGATACAACCTGTCTTTTTTTCCCACAAAGAGCACCAGTTTATTTAAAATAAATGGACTTTTTTGCATCGCTAGTCTTTGCTGATGTTCAACGAGTGGCTGAAGAAATGCCTGCTTGTGTTCCCTCACTTCTGCCTGGGGCGAGGACTCATAGACATGGCCATGAATCAGGCCGTTACCGATGTTTACGCCAGGTTTGGTAAGTAAAGTCAACATAAAACATGCTGCAGTGAAAAATGGCTCAAGAAACTAACACAGTCATCTCAGGTGTTTTAACATCAAATGACTCAGATCAGTAAATAATGCTGTTGCAGTCTGAATATCTTTATTTCTGCAGCATTTTGTGCTAAATAAAGGCTCGTTTCTGTTTTTTCAGGTGAGGAATACACAGTGGATCCTTTCCGGTGGGACTTTGTGGGTAAAAACATAGTTTTTATGGCGGTGGAAGGCTTTGTCTACTTTATTCTCAATCTTCTGATTCAGTATCGATTCTTCCTGGATCACTGGTAAGTGTTAACACACACCAGCAAAAATATAAAAAGTCTAAAAGGGTCAGAAAGCTGCAGCTTTATATGTTGTTTCTTTTTTCTTCTTGGAGCACCTTTATAGATGTTTATACGTTTTAATTGGTCAGGTTGTCAGACTTCAGGCAAACACCGGTGGTGGATGAGGATGAGGATGTAGCGGCAGAGAGGCGGAGGATTTATGAAGGAGGCAGCAAGATGGACATCCTGCAAATCAGAGATCTCTCAAAGGTAAAGGTCACTCACTCAACCACGACTTCAGACATTTCATTATAAAGCTGAAGCTTTATCAGTGCATCCAATAATTACCATGAAGCCTAGTCCTCACCAGCAGCACAATGTTATAATATAAAAACAAGAAATTCATCCTAAAATAGTCGAAACACAAATAGAACCAATTACGTATTCCTCTTTTACTGTTCAATTCAAAATATATTTTTAGGAATGAGACTTGATTAAAAAATAATCTAATGAATTAGACTGAGGCTTTCTAAATTAATTAATCTTGATTAATCGTATTTTAATCATTCATTTTAAGCTCCAAAAATCCCACAGTGTAATCCTGGCATTATGGACACATTGTTTAGACTTTTATTTTGACAGATGTCCAGCAGAGGAAATTACGTATTTTGATGCCCATTCTGACTGGCTGATAAAATACTACAGTAACCCCCACTTTTCGTAGCCCGAACCGAAACCCTTCACAGCTTGCCCGACCCTGCTCCCTACTTCAGCGTCGGCCATCATAGACTTCGGTCAGAGTAATGCTAATTGCAGAACAACATTATCCCAAGCTACAGCTAATGCTATCCCGAGCTACTGCTAATGTGTATGTTGGACGAGAGGAAAACAAAATGTTGGGCCACTCATGATCCAGGATGTATTGGGAGATAGATCAATAGCTTGTGGTCCGCTTCATTGTTTGTCCGCAGCTCATTAATATTCATGTCCTGGATGAGTGGGCGGGTCAAACCAGTCTTTCCACTGTAGTGCTTCATAGTGGGGTAGTGTTTGGTCATTTATCAGGGCCCCATTTTAAGCCCAACAAAGTGTCGTATGCCACACAGAGGCTCAAAGAACTATATTCAAATGTAAAAAATCTCTTTCTAGGACACCTTTAAAATGTCAACATAGACCAAAAAAAAAAAGATAACTGAGATTTATGAAAAATAGACAACATTACAAGTATAACTGTTCTTTATGATTAGGTTTGAAAGAAACGGAGAACATCTACCCTTTTGCATAAGGAAAGTTAATCTTTAGTCTTTTTTGCATTAAAAACTGATAAAACCCTAATTATGCTAAAAGTGCACAGGCAGATGTATTTCTACACCACTATATTTATGTCGTCGTTTCTATAGTGCTTTTCCAATAAAGGGAGTTGTTGTCATTTCTCTGCACAGATGTATGCAGGCAGAAAGAGGGCAGCTGTGGACCGGATTTGTGTGGGAGTCCCTGCAGGAGAGGTGAGGTCACCGAGTTCATTTTTACTGAAATCTCTACAATTTACCACAAGTTACCCCCCCCCCCCCCCCCTTGAATAAACCTGCATACATACTTGGTTTTTAGTAGGAAATTGGTCTTGCCAAGTAGAGTGAAATATTAGGTTTCTATTTTTATTAGTGCATTATTCCCTTATTTGAGGGGTTTTCTGTCCATGTATTGATTGTTTTTGTTCTTTGTCAGTGTTTTGGTCTCCTGGGAGTAAACGGGGCTGGAAAGACGACAACCTTTAAAATGCTGACGGGTGACACCGATGTTAGTAATGGAGAGGCTACTGTGGTTGGTTACAGGTACACACCGCATGGTTAAAGTAGACAAAAGTAAACCTGCTCCTGTCTTTGGCTAGCGCAGCATATTAAAGAAAGTAATGTTTAAAAACCAAGACAACATCCCTATTTTAGGCCTTCACTTTTATCTTTAATCTATTTTATGGGACAGAAATGTCAAAAAATAGATGATACTTTTGTTTTTTAGAGACTATTATTCTTACACTCAGGTCTGAGTAGCATCTTGAAATAACCATCATTCAACGATGTGATGCTATTTTCTCCCAGTATGTCAAATGGATTGCAATGTTACTGTGCTGAGAATCATTTTCTGTCTTCTGCAGCATCCTGTCAGAGATCCTTGACGTGCACCAGAATATGGGCTACTGCCCTCAGTTTGATGCCATTGATGAGCTCCTTACCGGCAGGGAGCACCTCTACCTGTACGCTCGTCTCAGAGGGGTACCTGAGTCAGAGATCTCCAGAGTGAGTTGTTTTCCAGCTGCTTTACATATCGAACTGCCTCAGGATGTTATGCTCTGCTGCACAGATGATAGAGATATCTGTTTTGTTCATGCTGCTTTGCGCACCCTCCTTCCTGTTTGTTTGCTAATTATGTACCAAGTGCATTGAAGTGGCCACTAACTACTGATGTTCTTCTTTCTGCAGGTGGCGGAGTGGGGCATCCAGAAACTGGGTCTGACAGAATATGCAAGCTACTGTGCAGGAACGTACAGTGGAGGCAACAAGCGCAAACTCTCCACAGCTGTTGCAATGATTGGCTGCCCAGCACTGGTGCTGCTGGTGAGTTGGCCAATGACAACAAGCTCCCGGGCCCATTGTTTGATTTTTGGGTTTTATGCAGAGATTTATCAATGAACTCCAGATGGGAAGCCATATGGATTCAGACAGTCCTGGCCTCCAGTGTTTTATCATTTGGCAACAAACTGTGCAGCTCAATTCAAATAGGCATAAATCTGTGATTTTTGCCATATGCTGATAGAGATAAGGACCTGTATGTGTATTTGTAAACGTGTGTTTTCAGGACGAGCCAACAACGGGGATGGACCCGCACTCTCGGCGTTTCCTGTGGAACGCCATCCTGAGTGTCATTCAGGACGGCAGAGCTGTGGTGCTGACGTCTCACAGGTTTAAAATGGTTTATTGCCTTTGTTACCTGGAAATGTTAAAGAAACCATGAGTGTGTTATTTAATTTTATTCATCACAAAAAAATGATAAATGGTGTAAATGAGAAAGTAGCGGTGATTGTTTTCTACCCCAGCATGGAGGAGTGCGAGGCTCTCTGCACTCGACTAGCCATCATGGTCAACGGGACCTTCAAGTGTCTCGGCACCATTCAGCATCTCAAATACAAGTAAGACCTTGGGTTCAGTAGCCCTCTTCGGATATTTGAAGAAAAACAGTGAATCACTTGAAATCGTTTGTTTGCTGCTTTTTCGTTTCAGATTTGGCGACGGTTATGTAGTGACCATGAAAATCAAGGCAGCTAAAGCAGGCTTGTCCCCGGAGCTGGAGCCTGTGGAGAGCTTTATAGAGAGCTCCTTCCCGGGCTGCGTTCAGCGAGAGAAGCACTACAACACCCTGCAGTATGAAATTGCTTCTTCCTCCCTGGCAAGGATATTTCAGCTGGTGGTGTCCAATAAAGACAGGCTGAGCATCGAAGACTACTCCGTTTCCCAGACAACACTGGATCAGGTATGAATGGCAGGAGAAATGCAGCACCACTCTGAGAAACAGATTGTTCACTGTTCATGTCCTGCTAGTAATATTAAATACAACATCAGTCAGCTGATTTAGTATTTATACCATGTGCACAAAACAATAACAGCTTTAACAACACAGTTTTGTCCATTCTATTTAGAGCAGGATTTACTTACAATTACAGACTAAAATGTGTTCTTCCAAGCTGTTCTGGCTCGCTACGGGGAAAGCCGCAGATTTAACATCCAGGAATCAGCAGAGGATGTCTTGACTAGCAGAAGCTAGCGATAGCAACTTCACCACACAGCAGAACTCCTTCAAACTTGTGTTATTTGTGGATTTAAAACATCCATGTTGCAAGTCAGCGGTGGAGCACGAAACTGTGGAACGCACTGCCCCTAACTGTTAGGGACTCTCCATCAGTAGCAGTTTTTAAAATGAGGCTGAAAACCTACTTTTATGAACTGGCTTTTAATTCTGTGGGTTAGCAATTATTAATGTTTTATAATTTTTATAATTCTAATTTTGTAATTCTCATTTGTGGTTTTAATTATGTCTGTAGCGCTATATGTTTTATTATTTTACTCTTTTGTTGTACAGCTCCTTGGTGGCATGCTCATGCCTGTAAGGTGCTTCATAAATAAAGGCTGAGTTGAGTTGAGTTGTTATCCAGTCCGAGGCGAGATGTCCAAATATCAGGAAATAAGAATCCAAAATCTGACATCTAAAGCTCAGCAGTAATGTGGCTCACTTGTAGCTCCCGGAAATGGCACAGCAGAGCCTCATTTATAAAGCTTGCTTATGCATGAAAAATGTGAATTTGCATGAAAACTTTGTGATTTATAAAGAAAAACCTGACAGAAGTATAGGCTCGCAACTTTAAGCAAACTTTGGACTGGCAGAAATACATTTTGGAGCCGGGAAACCTGGAAGCGCAGTCTGTGAGATGGTGACATGTTTAAGACATATTTTAAATGTTTTCATTAAATCTTCCTCTTAGATCTGGAATAATTTAGTTATCCTTGAGCATCTTTCAGATGTTTGGAAAGTATCGGTGATTACTGCCATCTTCCTCTGACTACGCCTTTTTATGTTTTTATATATTTCTTATTTTTTATATCTGCGACGGTCACTCTGCAGCTCCACAGCTCACCACTGCAGCAGCACTGTTCTCCATTGCCTCTATTTCCATCTCGGTTTTCATGGCTACTCAGGAAATGCTGCCTACCAACAGGCTTATGTGAATGGATAATATTCCTAACATATCTTCTGTACATTCATTCTGTGTACCTTTCCAACCTGCATTTGTTGGTTCATTAAAATAACCAAGAAATGCATATTCATAATTTAGTTTTCATTGTCAGTTTATGGTAGAAAGTAGGTGCGTATGGTATGGGTATGGTAGGAGAACCTGAGCACATTTCTTGGACAGTTGTGAAAATGTCTGTAGCTGTGCTTAAGCAGGGGTGTGAAAATTAATTTGCGGTAAAACATAATTTTATTTTTTGCTGAACTTAGTTGTGGTAAGGATTCTATGCAAAGGTGTGAAAAAAATGCTAAATTTTGTTCAATCCCTTGTTTAGATTACTAAATTTCCATGTAATTTTAAAGTTTTAGGTCTATATAAACATATTCTAACAATTTAAGTAACTTTCTATCAACACTAGTACAAATTTTTCATATTGCAGTTTTGTTAAAGGAGCCATTTGATGAAAACTCAACCTTTTGCAGCTTTTTACCACGTGATATTGTGGCTGCATTCATACATTTTCATAACCTGGCAAGCAACGCTCTATTGACGGCTCTCGGTCGTGGGGTGGGTTCTACCGTTGTCTTTCAAACAATCTCCACATGCTGGTGGACAATCAACAATGTGACATACTCACCGCAACAGATGTCAGTAAACGAGGTGGTCTGCTGTTGAAGGCAAAAATAAATCCTTTTTATAAATAAAGGACTTCAACACATCTATCTGCTCCTGAATCTAATAAAGCCCAAGTCCAAAATTGATGTAAAAGCAGTTTCAAATGAGCTGTCGCCATCTTGTTCCACTCAGTTGCATCATCCTGCCCACCAGACGAATAGAGGGCCCTGATTAGCCCACAAAGCGGATAGAGCGCCGTGATTGGCCCACCATTGTGGATCAGTCACATCTCTCTATGGGTTTGAAACCCCTATAAAGAGCTGTAATTGGCCAGCCAGGATGCTGCTAGGGGCTGCAGAGCTTCCAGTGGAGTGTTCCTTGACCAAACTTAGCAAGACAAGAATTTGGTCTAGTTCACTAGTCTAGCATTTTTCTGTCTCGGCTGCAAATTTTGAGTTTTTATTTTGAAAATCCTGCAAACACAAGGATGAAAACTAAATGTGTCACCAGGCCCTGCTCCTCTACCTGAAGCTAGTATCTGATCTGAAACCTGCCTCCCCTGGAAGTAGGTCACCAACGCCCACTTTCTCTGAATTGCAGGCATAGAGCGGCTGATTTCATGCTGCAATTGAGAATGTGACCTTCATGTCACAGATTCCACCTAGACCAGCGTGGGTATTCTGACAAATTACTTCTACACTGGGGATAAAACACTTCCTTAAAAACCATGATGCACCAAAGATGCACGTAATGGCCAGCAGAGGACATGTGTGCTGGGCGACATTTGTTTAGTAACAGACTTGGTGGTCCATTAGTTACAGTGCCAGGCTGGTTGCATTAACCACTGGACTGCAAAGGCCAATTCAACAGCAGCCTTGCCTAAAACACTGTGTTAGGTGTGTTTTGTCAGAGCGGGCATGGGCGGAGCTTGACTGAAACTAATGGTTTCGTTTCCAGGTATAAATTCAGGCTGATGAAATTAATTTGTATTCAAGATAAATGACATATCAATAGTGCCATTGGTAATATTTTATCATATATTGTGCCTACCTTTGCTGTCAAAGACTTAACTATGGAGTGTAGCTTGTTGTCCATTTAAATGCTTAAAGCTTTGTGAGATTGACATGTAAATCTAGTTTATATCATTCACTAGAAAACTTATTTTATTGTTGTTCAGGTTTTTGTCAACTTTGCCAAGCAGCAGACCGGGGAGGACGAGGGCGTCACGCTTCACAGAAGAAAACCACGAGGAAGAAAAGACATCAAGATCTCACCAGTGAAAAGGAAAACGTAAAATCACATGCAAAGTAAAAAAAAAAAAAGGTGATGAGTTACTCAGCAGAGCGCCAACATCTTAATTTTCATGATAAAAACTATTCAGACGATGAAGCTCATTACCTGCCAGGTTTGATGAGGCCGCTGGCTGCAGCTGAGGACTCATTTGATCAAACACAAAGCATGGAATGATGGAATAATATGTCCTACTCTGAACAGTTGAGACTTATGCTAAGACTTTAGACTGATGAGCTGTATAAATATGTACATATTGTATGAGTAATGAATATTTAAGCACCCTAGAGACTATTTTACTCTTGTCTAAATTAATACATGATTTTATTTTACATACATCTAGTCAAACTGAATGCAAAAACATTTTTACTATGGCTTGTGTTCTTTGCCGTCATTGGTGCATATTAAAGTATTTATCTGCTTTGTTTCATACATCGCTTGACACGTTTCTCGTGAACACAAGAGTTCTCATCCCGAGGAGTCAAACTTGCTGCAGATGAAAAGGGAATTCTGTTTTGTGTCAGTCATTTGTCTAATTTTCTCTGCAGGTCCTGTCACAATAATTCACTCATCATTCATGACGTATATGTGAAGTAGTGTGTTTTTTCCAGTTGTCCCTTCTCAAAGCTGTTCAGTGGCTGAGCAGAGAAGAGTCAGGAGGCATTCCCTTATGCCAAGAGGCTGCATACCAATAAAGCGGCTGAGAGAGACAGCTTTGCAATGAGGCGACTGCATCTTCTCAGAGTAGCTCGTCACAGCCCGAACTTATCTGACAAACAGTCAATTACTCGTGGCTGCCCGAGGCCACCCACAAGCCTGACTCACTGTCCAACTCTAAAAAATGGAAGGATGATGATCCTGAAATATTCAAGGCTGCTAATGAATTCTCGGTGGGGTGGGGTGGGGGTGTGGGCGGTGTCTTACGCCGCTTGTCTGCCCATACGGGCATTTGAATGAAGCTGATGAGCATGAATAGCTCCACTGTGGGGGAGCAAGAGTCATTCAGCAGGGAGTTGTGAAATGTGTTTGTACAGTGCCATCCACGCTGGAATAAAGGTTAGCGTAAAATAGCTCTTTGTTAGGATCAGTAGTTTTCCTGGGCAAAAGCTAAAATTAACCATCCTTTCCACCAAAAGTGTGAGCCTCGTGTAATGTAAAAGGCATTTCACCCACGAGCTCCCTTCTAACCATTTCAGATGTGAAATGGGAGCAAAAAAAGAAGAAGAAAATATCATTTCTATAGCGCCTCTCAAGATAAAAATCACGAGGCGCTTCACAAAAACAAAAAATATAAAAATTGTAAAAATAGAAAAAAAAAGCATTTTGAAAATGTTTAAAAATATATTCAAAATGAGCAAGAATAAGCAATTGCGATTTAAAAGAAAACATGTTAAGAAAGACAGAGAGTGAATAGGAAAGAGGAAAATCAGTGGATCCTGAGGAAGGTGGAATAGGTGGGGAGAGCCGAATAAAGAGAGAGTGGTGAAGAAGGTCATCCAAAAGCCAGCTTGAACAAGTGAGTCTTCAGCTGCTTTTTGAAGGAGACCACTGAGTCCACTGATCTCAGGCTCAGGGGGAGAGAGTTCCAGAGTCTGGGGGCCACAGCAGCAAATGATCTGTCACCTTTGGTCTTTAGCCTGGTGCTGCACAACCAGTAGGCTTTGATCACTGGACCTCAGGGACCTGCTGGGGGTGTAGGAACTAAGAAGATCACCAATGTAAGAAGGTGCTTGTCCATGTAAGGCCCTATAGACCAGAACCAGGATCTTGAAATGAACCCTGAAGTTGACTGGCAGCCAGTGAAGCTGGAGGAGAAGCGGGGTGATGTGGGTGTGTTTGGAGGACTTGGTCAGAAGCCGAGCGCATGCATTCTGAACCACCTGTAGACGGTTCAGGGAGGTTCTGCTCAGACACGTGAAAAGAGAGTTACAGTAGTCTAAGCGTGAGGAGATGAAGGTCTGGATAATTGTCTCAAGCTTAGAGCAGGACAGAATGGGACTCAGCTTAGCAACGTTCCTGAGATGGAAGACGGAAGAGTGAACAAGAGAACTGACATGAGAATCCAGGTGAGAGCTGGGTAAAAGGTCAAGCCAAGATTCCTGACGGAAGGTTTGGTGTGGGAAGCAAGCTGACCAAGAGAGTCTCTGACTTTGGGAACCAGCTTGTCTGGGGCACAGATGAGGATCTCAGTCTTAGCTTCATTCAGCTGAAGAAAGCTCCCAGCCATCCAGGTTTTGATAGAGTCTAAGCAGGTGTGTAACAGCTGCAGCTTAGACATCTCATGGGGCTTAAAGGAGATGTACAGTTGGATGTCATCTGCATAAAGATGGTAGGAGATTCCTTTGAAGGAGCTCAGGATGTGCTGAAGAGGAAGCAGATAGAGGAGGAAGAGCAGAGGCCCCAGCACAGAACCTTGTGGGTCATCATGGGTCAGAGAGGTGGTGGAGGACTTAAACTTGGAGACGGCCACAGAAAAGGAGCGCTCAGAGAGATAAGAGGAGAACCACTCCAGAGCAGATCCTGATAGGCCTACCCAGTCTCTCAGCCTCTCCAGTAGCAGGTGATGGTCAACAGTGTCAAAGGCTGCAGTCAGGTCCAGCAGGACCAGAACTGAACAGTCCCCTGCATCACTGTGAGTCAGAAGGTCATTAGAGACCCTAAGAAGAGCTGTTTCAGTAGAATGAGCTCTATGAAAACCTAACTGGAAGCTATCATAGATGTTATGTTCATCAAGAGCAGCTGTGAGTTGTTTAGCCACAACCTTTTCCAAGATTTTGGAGATGAACGGAAGTTTAGAGATGGGTCTGAAGCTGCTATGGAGAGAGGGGCCGAGACTCAGTTTTTTAAGAAGTGGGTGGATTACAGCGTTCTTAAAATAAGCAGGGACCTGACCAGAGACCAGAGAAGCATTAATTATAGAGAGCACGCTGGGACCGATGGACTGAAAAGCACTTTTAAACAAAGATGAGGGTAAGATGTTGAGGGGGCATGCAGAGGGCTTCATAGAGTTAACTAGTTTGGTTAACTCAGGCAAAGAAACTGGAGCAAAGCTATCTAGGATGATGAGCCTAGTTGGAGTCGGGAGAGGCAGCGATAAGGCTGAAGGAGAGATGCTAGATCTAACCTTATTGACTTTGTCCACAAAGAAAGACAGAAAGTTCTCACAGTCTGCAACAGAGTGGATGGAGGCTGTAGGAGAGGGAGGAGAGACGATGCTGCTGATGGTGTTAAACAGCACCTTGGGGTTCCCTTTGCTCTGGGACACCAGGTTGAGAAATAGGAAACCCTCGCGTCTCTGACTGCAGAGTTAAAGGTTGTCAGAAGATCCTTTAGGTGCAGCAGATGGACGTGGAGATGGGTTTTCTTCCACAAACGCTCAATTTTTCTGCATTGGCGCTTCAGGCTGCGAAGGCTGTCATTAAACCAGGGAGTAGGGTTCACTGCAGGAACTGATCTGGTTCTGACAGGACAGATGTTGTCCAGAATGGAGAGGCAGTGCTTGTTGAACTGAGAAGTTAAGGAATCTGGGTTGTTATCGGAAGAACAGGGTGGATAAAAAGCAGCAGAAAAATTGCTAGCTGTGCTCTCATTAAGAAAACGAGAACTAACCATACGGCGAGCAGGAGGTAGGGACGCAGAAACTGACAAGTTAAAGAAAATGCAATGGTGATCTGAAATATAAACGTCCTCAGGACAAACACTGTCAGCATTTAGACTCAGGGTAAAAACAAGGTCTAGAGTGTGCCCCCTGGTGTGTGTGGGGCCAGAAACATGCTGGGTAAAGCCGAAGGAGTCCATAAGGCTGGAGAAATTCATGGCAAAGAGATCGGAGGGATCATCAACGTGGATGTTAAAATCACCAACAATCACCAGTCTGGACAGCTTCACAGTGGAGGATAGAAAGTCACTAAATTCCTGAAGGAAAGAACTGTTTGGACCAAGTGGACGATAGACCACAGCACAGTAGAACGGGTTCTTATGCCCGACTTTAATCAGCTGCAGTTCAAAGGAATCAAAGTGACCAGAGGTTGTAGAGATAGATGGAAGATGGTCTCTGAAAACAACAGTTAGGCCTCCACCACCACCAGACTCCCGAGGCTGGCTAAGAAAAGAATAACAACTTGGGCAAAGTTCAATCAGAGCAGAATAATCAGATGTTTGCTGCCAAACTTCAGTCAGAAACAGAAAATCCAGGTTTTTAGACAGAATTAGATCAGTGAGCAGGAAGGTCTTATTTTTAACAGAGCGGGTATTTAATAGAGCCATGCTGAGTGAGGTGGAGGAATCAGAAACTACAGAAACAGCTGGAGTTAGTGGACGTAAATTAGCAGGGTTAGATCCACGGTGTTTATAAAAACCACTTATGGAGGGAACAGGAGGAGAAACCACTGAGGAATGAGGATAAACCGACCTTAAAAAACTTGGACGGAGAAACCGCGCCGCAACGCGGCCTGGCAGGAATGAGAAAGTGGTGCTCAGGTCACCAAACAAAGGACAAGAAGCTAGAAGATCGCGCCGATGTTTACCAGATAAACCACGCTTTAAGAGAAGTCTTATTCTCACCTGGATTCCTGCTCGTTTACCTCTTTTCCTCCGACGTCTTCCCGGGACCGGACAAACATCGCTTGAGGTGCGCAGCTCTGGACCGTCGATTGCTTCCGGGCCAGTGCGCCACTCAGGTAAACAAACAGGATGGTAAATCCTCGGTGCATCTTGGGCGATCGTGAACGAACGGAAGGACAAAAGAGTCTGGCGATCATAGGAGATGGTAGCAGAGACACTACTGAAGAGGAACGCAGACAGGAGCAAGGTGGAAAAGAGGAGGTTAGTGGAGAAAAGTTTGAAAAAGTGGCCGGTGACCGCGGTGAAGCCAAGCACAGCCGCCATCTTGCCGACTGGAGAGTGTGATCTAGAATGCTCTGCAGAATGCTCTGTGAAAAAATTCCACGCAGCTGGCCCCGAGGGGTCACAAAGTCGCGCAAGATTTACAACACCATGCATGATTTTGGAAGTTCACAAAATATCAGGCAAGAGGAAGATGGCTGCCTGCAAACCAAAAGGTCTGTTTTTTTTTCCTGTTCCGGTTACCTTGGCTACAGAGATTTCACAGGAAATTACACATTTGCATGTGATTAAGTTTGAATGTTTATGGATGTTTCACATGACTTTCATGTTTGACTTCCTTTCTGGCCAGATTTGAGATGCGGAGTTTACGTGTTCTGGCAGCGTAGCACAAAAACTGAACTCAAAATGGAAGAAACACAACATTATGCTTATGGGAGGTGTCCAAAATGTGTCGCTTCATGGCCGGTGGAAAGGAACCTGCCCACTATAACAGCAGCTAACTGCTGCGAAGTATGTTTCATGACAGTTACGCTTCCAGTGGAAAGAAAGAGGAATATACAGACATTGATAGAATTGTAACTAATGTAGGTCACTCTGCTAAACGGCACAGTCAAGCTAATAGTTGTTCAACAGGTTTGAGATCAGGACTAAAGCAAGGCCATTCCATCCTCTCTACTTCCACACCCTGAAGGTAGTCTCTGATAAACGGTCTCTGTGGAGCTAAGTGTCATCATCTTGGAAGAATTGAGCTCAGGTTGCAGAGTGTCATAAAAAAACCTCTCTGCACTGAGAAAGCTCCCAAAAATACCAAGCTTCAGGTTTCCGGTAATGCCATCAAAGTTGTTACCCTATCAGGGCAGCAAGCAGCATGGTGTCTCCACATTTTGATACTATGATCCACCTGCCATTGAAAGAATTTAGAGTTATCACTGAACATAACTGCACTCCACATGCTACAGACACACCAGTGCAAAAGGACCTCTTGCTAGTCCTGTGAGACCAGATTGGCAGTGTGACGTCTTTTCTGCATTTCCAGGG